TCAGAAGTAGAGATTAAAAGAGTCCCACTTACAATAGCATCAAAAACAACAAAACACTTAGGATTAACCAAAGAGGGAAAAGAGCTACAGATTAAAAGCTATAAGCCACTGAGAAAAAAAAACTAAAATGATTCAAGTAAGTGGAAAGAAATTCATGTTATAGATTGGAAGGCTGTTGCTAAAATGTGCACACTACCCGAAGCAAGCTATAGATTTACTGCAACCCTAGAAAATCCCATGGTGTATTTCATATAAATGTGAAAAAGTTTAAAGACAAAGCTTAGTGGATAGGAGAAGGGGCAGCTTCTTAAGTCGAAAGAGCCAGCACTGCCTCTGGCTTCAGAGCAGCCCACCTCCTCCGGACCCTCAGCAGCACTCAAGCACACAATGGCACAGTGAGACAGAGAGAGACACAAGAAATCAGATTCCTGGCAAGGACGATGCTGTCAGTGGATGTCACATCTGTCCATCTAGAAAATTCAAAAGAAACAACAGCCAAACGGCGAGCACTAAGGAAAGTTGAAACAAGGTAGATGCAAAATGATGAGCCAGAGCTCAGGCCGAGGCCATGCAGTCGCCACGGCAATTGTCAAACAGCAGCGTGGAGCTTCGCAGCGAGGGTCCAGGCTGCAGGGAGCTGGGATAAGTAACTCTGGCTGGGCCTCAGCATGCCCATGTGTAAGTCCACCCAAGCTAAACACCAGTTCAAGGGGAGTCTAATTTTGATAAAAACGCCAAACAGTTCTGAGGACTTGACCCATTTGAGACTGTCACAAAGATTCAGTACAGATTAGCCTGTGGCCCCGGGACTTTCCCCGCAGGAATAAAGGCCCGTTACAAAACCTTCATGTTTGAAAAAGCAGTGTGATCTCAGTGAGTGCCAGGGCAAGTCAGGGTTAAGTAGGCAGTTTCAAGGACAGTGCAGCAGGGACTTCGGGACAGTGAAGGGAGGCAGAGAAATTCAGGAGGGCTGAGGATGGCAGTCAGTCTCAGGAAACCTTGGCCAGGGGAGGTACACAGAGAAACTCTGAGAGCTGGGGAAATGGGCCTGGTGCCTGGGAGACAGAGCCAGTGCCACAATGAGATGATGAGATTTTAGAATAGACTTTGAATACCCCTAGACTCAGACCCTCCCAAGTACAGCATCCCTGGGAGTCCCTGCTTCCTTCCTTGAAATTAGCTTACCTTTACTTTCTTAAACAAAGTTGGCTTCTCTCTGCTCACTTACCTACAGTGTCTGCGAACTCCTTCTCACGGCTTTGTGGGCAAGAACCTGTGGTGGGTCAAGGGCTGAATGAACAGTGCACACCGGTGTCAAGAGAGATACCCAGAATGACACTCGCTGGTCTGAACCTCTCTACTCAGTAAGGCTGGCATCCTAGCCAGTGGGACAGCAACTTCAAAATGCTGCCGGCTGCACGAAGCCAGGCAGTGGCACAGGTCATGCAGGCCGCAGGGCTCTCTGCACTGTGCTGGGCCTGCCCTGCCATGTTGCCTACGGACTCAGGTAGGCCTTTTGCTTCAGCTGCAGGTACGAAGAAAACACTTAGCAGCAGGTCCAGGAAACTGGCTCAGTCTCCAGCAAGCAGCTCCGCATGCTCACCCAGAGAAATGGCCCCAAACGCAGCATGAGAAGAAAAGAACTCTGCGCACCTCAGGATGTTTTTAGGTTTGTTAACACCCCACTCTCCCCGCAATGCCCCTCTACAAACAGCAGCATGGTTGTGAAGGCAGCTCTCAGGCTGACAGCAAGGGCTCAAGGGCTCCCTCGGAGCTCGGTGAGCAAGGTACTGGGGGAGGTGGGGGTCTTAGCAAGAGGCTGCAGAGGATCTCAGCCTTCCCTGTATTTCTTCCCAAGAGCATATGGCCACGGGTGACTTCGTACATTTAGAAGAATAGAATCATTAAAAAGGAAACCAGGAATCTTTCAGCCCCAGGACCCAGGCTGGCCACCTCCCTGAGGGGGGAGGGGCATGAGGAACTGAGGCGGAAGTGGTGACCCCCGCTGCGGGCAAGCAGGCCCTGGTGTGACCCGGGGCTCAGCAGGACCCTGGCCAGACACAAAGCATCAGCTCAGGGCAGGGCCTGCTTGTCAGGCAAACGTGGTATGAAAACTCCACATTGACTAACAGGTCAAGATTGCAGAATGACCCACGAGAGGAAGCACAGACAACCCTTCACAGCATCCAGGCAAGCGCTGTCGAAAGATCTGCTCCCTTCACAAACCCACTGATGGAAGAGCAAAGATTTGAGAAGGCACAAATCCGCACAGAGATGGGGGGTGCTGTGGGCACGGCAGCCAGGGGATGCGGCAGAGCAGAGATGGGGACCACAGATGCTGAGCCCCGGAAGCCACCAGAGCGGAAGGGGAGCACAGACCAGCCCCGCCAGGAATGGCAGAGACTGAAGCTCTGGGGATGCACAGATAGATCCGGGTCCCCTGCCCCTCCCCTTGGTGGCTTTTTCATTAACAAATTGCAGCAGAGACTCTAACCCTGGGACAGCGGGGACAGTGGGGTACTGCAACCCCCAGGGTGTCAATGCCCCTCCCCGGACAGCTCAGAAGCCGCACAAAGAATTCAGGACCGAGCTGGCATTTCCCAATGCAAAGCTGAAGAGAGAAGACAAGTATCTTGAAAATTTTTAGGTGAAAACATTTTTCAAGCTCCAATTCAATGCTCAGATGGGTCAACAATGTGAGGGCAGGAAAAACGACAGCTGTAGGAATATAAAGCCTCAGAAAGAACCTGTCACCCACGGTCCTCATTTAAGGACGTGACACAGGACACACACCACCAAGCCAAAGGGCGGCAGCAAGCAAGAGGCAGGGCTGGGCTCCAGGCATGGCTGGCCAGGAGGAGGGAGACGCCAATGGCCGCGGTCTGGCAGACCAAGAAGGGGTGCAAGGACAGGGTGGGAAGAACTCGCCAGGGAGAGTGGACAGGTCACCAGATGCAGCTGATGGCGTGGAAACTACTACTCTGGGGGCTGGAAGATTTTATTGGGGATACCGGGAAGCGGGGACAGTAGACTACTGATCCAACAGGGGAGCACAGAGCTGACCCTGGCGAAGGGGCAGCTATGCTCCTCAGTGGCTTCTCTGCCCATCTTGGGTCTGTGGAGCCGCAGGCCCGCCCGGATGGGCTCAGTGGCATCCCCGGCAGGGGCAGCTCTGGCAGCCCCGCATGCCGCGGCCCTGCGAACGACATCCCTGACCTCCCATCCCAGCCAAGGTTGGATCCAGCAACACAGCCTACAGCAGCCTGACTGGACAGCGGCCAGGGAGGGCTGGGCCATCCCAGAGCCAAGGACACGTAGCACTGTGACCCTGCCGGAGGGCGCCGTTGCTGCCAGGTGCTACCTCCACCCGCTTGTTTGTGGGTCTGTTTCTCCTTATTTAAACCTAAGTTTATGCTCTTAAACATGCTCTTACAGCACTTTTTAAAAATCACAACCTATTATTCTTCAGTCGTTTTCATCTCTTCTCACAGTGAAATTGCCCCTTCCTCATCCTGAGCCTTTATCCCAGGCGCTCCCTGCCATCCTCAGGGGCAGAAGCCACCCTGGCATGTGGTCCAGCGGGGGCAGGTCAGGTCATGGGGGCACAAGAGGAAAGAGCAGAGGTGCCCTCAGCTGCGCCTCAGGGCCGTGGCCAGTCACACACCCAGCGATGGCTCTTCCCAGTCCAGGCCAGCAGCTGCACAGCTTTTTTAAGCAGAGTTTATTTCTAGATCTTGGGAGGGATGTGAGCTATTCTGGAAGTTGTGCACAGCTTTGCCTTCATGGGGCTTTAAGAACACACACACGTGCATGCACATGGCACACATGTGCACAAAGAGGTATGTACATACACACAAGGGACAGGCATTTGCACACATATGTACACACACATACAAGCGCACAACATATCACACTCACACACACTTGCACACATACACAGTCTACAGCATGCAATGAATACACACATGCATGGCAGGTGCGTACCTGCTGGTACACAGGCGCATACCTGGTCGCTGAGTGTACACATGCCATGCACACACCACTTGCACATACACACACATCATGTGCCACAGTCTCAGTGGCACAACGCACACCGCACAGAACACACGCGTGCATGCTTAGCAAACTCATGGTGCCACATGTGTGTGCTGCCAATGTGGGGGCCGGGGCTGTTTCCACCCACCATGGACAGCACCAGACCTGCCCTGCGACCTCCATGGCTCCCCTGAGCTCTGGCAGGAAATGAGGCCCAGATGGTGATGAACACCTGAGCTCCTGGTGCAGTGACGCAGTTGTCCTCTCTCCTGGTTCACGCAGGGAAAATGCCAGCTGGATGGAAGCAGCTACAGGGAAGGGTCCTTAGGGGAATCCCATGCTCGGCCTTTGCAGTAGGCTCAGCACCCCCACCGGGCACACACTCCCCAGCAGGGCCCACGGGAGGGCCGCCAACGTCCAACATGGCCTAGTGGGCAGCTCCCCTGAAGGCTTCTCTGTCGGTGCCAGGCTCGGGCTGGGCATGGCTGCCCAGAGAGCCGGCAGGGCTGAAGGGCTCAGCCTCAGTGAAGCTTCCCACAGAGAAGAAAACGTTCAGCCACTGCCCAGTGTGTCTCCTGCCCAGCTACGACCCTTGGGATGGGGTAATGGCGGGGCCCCTGCTGGCTGGACTGCACTGAGTATGGAGTGATCTGTGCCCATGCTTACCTGCAGCACGTCCACGTTCCTATGTCAGCCACCCAGGCCTGTCATCTGGGCTACGTGACCGTCTTTGCTCCATTCCCAGTGCCCAGCAGGCCCGGCCTCTCCTCCCACCTTTCCAGCCCCCACACCCCATCTTCAGTCCAATGCGAGCCCAGCTCCTGATGGACCCTGAGACCTGCCTCCAGGGCCACCCCCACAAGTCACTGCCGGTGACTCATCGTCTCTGCCCCTGTGCTCACCATGGACCTCAGCTGCCCACCCCCCCAACCCCCGTCTTTCCTTGAAAGCACAGACTCCTGGGGCCGGCCCCCCTCTTCCCAGCTGTCCCTGTGCTGAGACACACACCATGGCTCTCTGGCCTCGGCTTCCTGGCTGCCTTAATAGCATCCGCACACAGAACCCAGTCCCCGCGAGGTGCCATTTCTGGTTTCTTTAGATTTCCTTCCACTTCTCTGTCTTCCAGCCAGACGCTAGAGTCCCCCAGCCAGACGCTGGTGCCCCCTCACCCCCTGCAGCCAGATACAGGTGCTCCTTAGCTCCAGCCCAGGCATAGCTCCTCACACACGGGCCCCCAGCACCTACCGCACCCTGGGGAGTGGGTGACTCCAGGAAGGTGGGTCTGCACATCTGGGGGCCCCCAAAGCCGCTCCTTGTCCCATCATTGAGCCCCTCATAGAGCAAAGCCCCATCTCACGGCTTCGGTGCCCCTCTCCAAGCCACTGACCCCAGGCAAGATGGCTGGGGCTTCTGCTCAGAGGCCCTGGGCTCTGCGGAGCCTCCCACGCGGGCTGCTGGGAAATACTTTCTCCAAGTTGAGCAAGCCCAGAGGTGCAGGAGGGCCTGGCGGTGGCAAGTGGGCCCAGGGGAGGGCTGTGTATGGAGCAAGTGGCTTCTCTAGGGCAAACATTTGCTCTTGCTGGAAACAAGTTCAAGTGATCACTGCCAAGCCCCACACGGCCCTGGCCAGCTGCAGGGCAGTGCCTCCAAGGGCCACGAAGTGCTGCCTGTGGTCACCAATCTGACCAAGGCCGAGCCCAGTGTTGGGTCAGGTCTATCAGCCCGTCCTGCTCAGGCTCTGTTGGCCACTGCATCTCTGGCCCACGGAGCCAGAGCGTCAACCAACTAGATGGCCCTGGCTCAGGTCCTTCTGACATATTGCACAGGGAACCCCACTCAGGATATTCCCGGACCCCCCAAGGTTTTCCCTGGAAGCCCTTTTCCCCAATCAAGTCTGTAGAGAGAATTAGACTTTCACAAGGACAGTAGCCCCCAGCAGGCGCTTGTCCTGGGCACGGTCACTCTGGTCTCCAGCCCCATGAGGGCCAGTGAGGAGGGTCAAGCATGTTACTGGGTGAGAGCAGGTTGCTGCAACCAGCCGGGCACAAGAGGCGTGGGCAGTGATCGATCCACTCCAGCGGGTCAGCTCAGGAGGGAGCGGCAGCCTAGGCAGTGGAGCAACTGCCAGGCCGAGGCCGGAGGCTAGGTCTCAGAGACAAAAGCTGGTGTGGGGGATGCAGAGAAGAGCAGGAGACGAAGCGAGGTACCAGAGGCCCCCCGACATGGTGGACAGTCCACCATGGACAGATGGGAGGGACGCAGCAACGGGATGCAGGAGGATGACGATGGTTCATGCTGAGAAGCATCGCCGGGAGGTGAGGACCACGGCTTGAAGGGGGGAGACATGAGTTAGGAATGACCTGTCACCGAGCACCCGGGTGGCCTCCGGGAGGCGCAGCAGGAGTGGCAGGAGAGGGAGGAAGACTGGGGTCAGCCTGAGAGTGACCAGACAGAGGGCGCTGTCTGTTGAAACAGAGAGGGAAATCCTCAGCGCCCAACTGAGACGTCGTCCAGTTGCCCCAAGAGGCCCAGTGGCCAGGGGACCCAGAGGTGCCCACACCAGTGAAAGTGGGAACCGCAGAGCCAGAAGCCCATAAGGCCCTGCCCTGACCCACACTCTCGAAATTAGTTTCTGCAGAAACTCGCCACATTCAAGCAAGTGCTCAAAGCAGCCGCGATGATGTAGGCTTGGCACCACCTGCAGAGCCATCAACGTCTGTCCAGACACCAGCGTCATCCGCACAGCGCCGCGGCCTCTGACCCCAGCAAGGGCTGACGGCCAGCCTGCGGAAGCTTCACAGTGAAGGTGGTCAGGGAGAGAAGGCACGACACTGGCCATTCACTGTTCTAACCCATCTTAAAAAACAAGAGAGGGTGTGAGTGGCCCACAGGCACGCACCGGTGGCCATCAGGCCAGCCAGGGGCAAGTACCAGGGGAGAGAGGGGGCATCTTTACTTGGATTTTGACAAGAGAACAGGAAATGGATTCCTGAAAAGAGGGGGAAGGAGAGTCACCTCAGTGGGGAGCCGTTTACTCAAAACCTCAGGAAGCTGTGCATGTGGGAGGTCAGCCGCCTTTTGGGAAGAGAGCTCTGCTGAGCTACAGCTGGATCCGTGGGTGGACACAGAAAGAGGAGCTAAGACCTGCCCGGCTGGAGGCGCTGCCTTCGCACTGTGGTCAGGAGGCCAGCTCGGACAGCGATTGGGACCCAGCCCTGCAGCCCAGGAGCCATGAACCAGCCATTGACAGGAGAAGAAATGGGAAAATCTGTTCCACCAGACACCGTATTTGCCAGACCAGAGATCACACCCAAACCACACATACTCAAGAGCTGCCACACCCCCAGGCGCAGAACTGGCTGGAAAATCAAGTGGGGTTCTGGAGTGGGCTGAGAGTGCATGTGGTTTCGCTGTCTTCAGTCATCTCTAACCACAGTCAGCAAGCTACAGAGCTGTGATGCATGTTGGAGAGCTGCCTGCCTGTGGCTCAAGGTCACGGCCAGGTCTGGGCAGGAAGTTCAAGGTCACAGCCTGGTCCTGAGCAGTAAGTTCAAGGTTATAGCCAGTTCCTGGGTAGGGTACCCAACATGTTTCCAAGTTTTTCAGGGCAACATTCAGAACCAGTGAGTTCTGAGCAGCTCTTGATACATCTACGTGATGAAACATTTGCTCATAGTTTAAAATCACTCCAGGCACATGTGTGAAAGAAATGGCTTAAGTTTTCAAATCATTTTCCTGTAGAGTGGAATAGTCTTAGCCCCTGGGCTGTTTTATTATGCTCATATAATGCACCTCATAAGTTCACAGGACTGAGAAGGCTCAGGGCTGGCCAGGGTGCTCTGGGGCCAGAGGTGGGGCCTTAGGCGGACAAGGCTGGTCCCCCACAGGGCAGCGAAAGTCAGGGGCAGCCCGAGAGTAGCCTTTCACCTCAGTTTGCAAGAGTCCACCCTGATTATGACATCATCTCAATACAACGACAATCACCAAATAACTGGAGGACCCGACTGTGAACAGCTGTTCACATACATCACGGCGTGTCTGCACAATGGAACCCTTGTGCCCTTAGAAAGGGCTTTCCCGGGGCCTCTCCGGTGGCGCAGCAGTTGAGCGCTGGGTTGCGAAGCTGCCCGCAGCCTCTGCAGCGCCGGTTCGATCCCTGGCTGCTCCCCGGCCACCAGAGGAGGGGCCCACATGGCGCGCAGACCTCTCCTGCCGCCTGCTGCTCCCCTCAGCAGTGTGTTTTGTCAGTCTTCCTGCTCTGCTCCCCGCTCTGGCTCTGGTGAATTCTCTCACCCTCCCGTGCTTCTGACTGTACCCTGTGCTTATATAAATAAATAAATAAATAAATAAATCTTTAAAACAAAAAAAAAAGAAAGGGCTTTCGGGAGTAGGTCTGGTCATGGAGAACGGTGGTTGGGGCCCACTGCCTCTGGAGTAACTGCATTTGTTTAATTGCATATGTACGATATGAATAAATATAATACCCATGACTTGGAAAAACAGGTGTTAACTTGGTGTCTACCAGGAGGTACTTTTCCTTTATCCTTGTGTGGATTTCCTAACTTTGCATCACAGACATGCATTCCACTTCTGGCAAGTCTCTCCCAGCCTGTCTGGGGCGTGTTTGAACCCCTTGGCCGGAGAGGCCGACAAGCTGGACCAGGGCCCCTCCCCCCCAAGCCACCACCGAGAGCGCTGCTCACCACACTGTCCCGGATGCCTGGGGTCTCCAGCAGCCTGCGGACCCCGTTCTCTGCGGTCACACCCAGCCAGTTGAAGGCCGCCCAGCACCAGAGGTAGTCGTGGCCACCATGCCAGAAGCTCACAAAGGCAAAGGTCAGTGCCGTGGAAAACATTGTCCCCAGCAGGCCATGCTGAGAGCCGCCCGCTGGGACATACACGTACCTGGGGAGAGAAGAGAGAGGCAGGATGTCCCTTGGGGCATGTCCTCATGGCCCTCCCCCACGCTGCCTCGATGGGTAGATCCCGCTCCCGGGAGGCACTGAGCTGCTACATGACCAGCAGGCCACTGCACTGGGGGTGGCGCGGGGCACGGAGGGACGCGCTGGGTGGACACCCCCAGCCAGCCCTGGTGCAGGTGGCAGCGATGTCTGCTACGGGGCTGTGCACCTGACAGCTTGGACAACTCGGCTGGTGGTCAACCAGATTTAAGCTTAACTGACAGCCCCGCATGGCAGGGCTGAACAGAGGGGGTTCCCGGAGGACCCGCTGGGCAGTGCAGGCCATGGACACAGAGGTCGGCTCTCAAGTGGACAGGTTCTGGGCTCGCGGGCACCGTCAACCATGCTCAGCCATGGCTCCCCGGCTGGGCCGGCTCATGGCTCCTCCTCCTCTGACCAGGAGCCGTGGACAAAACGCACATGGGCTGGTGGCTCAGGACGGGAGAAGCCATCCCGTACAATCTTGTTAACTGCCCAGGGCCTCTGTGTCTGACTGGCCAGTGGGTGCCCTCATGCGGGAGGGAAGCGGGATCAGCGTCCCGGGCACATGGGTCCCCGAGGCCAGCACCAGCTCATGGCTGGGCGTGGTCACCAGTTCACCCACACAGCTTACGACGAGTGAGGTTTATAGACCATGTTCAGTTTGGGCGAGAAATGCTATTTTAAACTTCACTTAACTTTATAGGGAAGCCAAAAATAAAACCCCAAACCATTTCTCCCTCGATAAATGGACCTTTTGGAGACCATACAGCCGAGATGGTATCTGAGCCCCTCAGCCTGAACCTGCTGACAGACGTGACTATGGCAGCCCTGGGGGGAGTGCAGGCCAGAGCGACCTGGACCCCACACCACCTGCCCGACCCCAGGCGCCTGCACCGGGCATCTCCCCCCCGCCTGTGGGCCCATTCCAGAGCCCTGTCTTTTCGACCCCTCTGAAGCCAGAGGTGCAAGTGCAGCCATCTCAGGAGTGAGTCATGCTGGGAAGACCTGTGTTTGGTGAAAAGCAAGGCTGCCTTGACCTTGAGGCTGCCCCCAGCACAGACATGGCCACGTGGCCCTGTCTGCGAAGGGCACAGGGCACTGGCTGTAGAGGAGCAGGCCCTAGCTGAGCCACATGAGGGGCCCAGACCCGGCTGCATATGGAAGCCAGTGGACTCACTCAGGAGCCTGGGCAAGGCCTGCAGGCCAGGGCATAAGGTAGGGGCACGACACCTGCCTGGGAGGTCTGGGGAGCCAGGAAAGCCAGGGCGATTTTATTAGGTGTCCTGCTGCCCCCTACAGGCTGCCTGCTGACCAGTACACAAACTGCAGCACCAGGGGGGCCCTTCTCCAAACCCCCAACTGCCAGGAGGAACCTGGGCCCGTGTGACACGGCCAGGGGTATAAGAACTGGGTGGGAAAAGCCGTTCCCGGCGGGAGGAAGGACTGCTGTTCCCAGAAACTCCAGACCCCCACGAGCTGAGGGGGCACTCGGCCTCTGCTCGCCCACAGCACCCGCCTGGCACTGAGGCCACAGCACTAGGAGCTCGGGGGCGTCGGGGAGCACGTCCTGCCCCCATCCAGTGCTGGAACCATCACCCCGATTCTGTGAGGGGTGTTCTCCATGTGTGACAAGGGCTGGGCCAGGCTATGTGCAGGGGTCAGTCAGTCCAGGGGTCTCAGGCACATGGCTTTGCCTTCGAAATGACCAAATCCCAAGAATCCTTTTCTCCCTGAAATTCACACACAACAGTTCTTCAAGGACATGCAGCTTGGCTTCTACTAGAAGGGAGGGCTTCTACTAGAAGGGAGGACAGTTTCCAGATGGGGCGTGTAAGCCCTCCTCATCCTGGGACCAGGGGCCAAGCAGGCCAGGACAGCACACAGCCGTCCCCTTGGCCAAGTCCACCGGTCTCCTGTCCAGGGGTCCAGGAGTCACAAGAACAGAAACATGTCTGCTAGGAAGAGCCCCGCGCCCCAACTTCCAGGGAGATGGGGCCAATGCAGAATGTCCAGGGGCACCGAGGCCAAGCAGGTAAGCAGGGCCGTGTGGCTCTGCCATCCCCTCTCAAGGGGAGCAGATGCAGCCAGACAGAGGGCAGGTGGCCGGGCACCAAGGACACAGCCTCCGGTACACAGCGAGCGCAGCCATCCTGGTGCTGGGCAGCTGTGGGCATGTAGGGAGGACACTGCGCAGTGCCTCTGGAAACTACTATCCCGCAGGGACCTTGAGCCTGGGAGCAAAGGGGCGGCACCTCCACCCCCCCTACACTGACTAGGCCTGGGTGCAGGATGCTCCCTGCCAGGCCCAAACAGCCCAGGCAAAGGGCAGCCAGGACCCCAGTTAGGGAGAAGTGGCTCACAGGGAGTGAGGCAGGTCTGCCCCTGGCTGGCCGCAGAGAGCTGGCCACACAGGGACCTGGCCAAACACTCTGTAGTGCCTCCCAGGGCCCCCGCCCCAACGGCATCAAGGGAGATGGCAGCCCGGAGGGCACCCCAGCTCCAGGGTGCTGGGGATACCACAGGGCTGCTCTCCACAGGTGCAAAGGAGAGTGGCTCATCCTCCCCTATGCTTGGCGTGGCTTTCTGAACCCCCAAAGGGCACTTCACAATCTCTGCAGAGCCTGATGCCCAGGAACCCCACTGGCCAGGTCACAGCACAGGCCGGTTTCCAGAAAGATGCCCCCAAGGAAAAGAACCTGACTATGCTTTCAGCAAGCACAGGGCTGAAGGTGTGCCACAGAGGCCCCTCCCCCCGGCCCCCCTTCCCCGCCTCCACCAGCACCCTGGAGCTCTGAGGGCTGAGGGATCTTGTGGAAAATTCCCAGGCCCTGAGGAGCTCTCAGCACCAACCTGCCACCTGCTCCCTCCACCCAGGCCACTCTGTGTAGCCATGGAAACGGGATGCCAGCACTGCCAGGGGAATGCAAATGGGCTCTCTCTAGGCCAGCAAGGCTGAGCAGTTTGACCCCACCTCTGCTCTACCAGTGGCTGGCCAGGGGCCAGGAACAGAAAAGCAGCATCTAGGGCTTATGCTGTCACCGGCTCTGAAGACCAAGCTGAGTGGCACCCAACGAGGCCTTCAGCGAGTGAAACCCTCATGCAGCCGTGGGGCCTCTCCTGCAAAGCCAAGGGCTTCTGCAAAGACAGAAGCTTCCCCAGGATCATGGTCACTGGTCACCAAGCAGTCGGGGGCCCAGAAACCAATCTGTTTCCCCTCAATAAATCCCTCATTAATGTTGCTATGACATTTACAGTTTAACATGGTTTTATGACTTGTGCTTAAAAAAAAAAAAGAACTGTTCTAATAATAGATTTCCTACAACCAAGAGGGTTCCCGGTACCTTAATTAAGTGCTCCTGGTGACAAAAGGCTCTAGCTTGAATAATGGAGGGAGCATTGATCTTCATGAAGGCCTCGGGGCTGGTCTTGGGAGCCAAGGCCACCTCTCCTGGGGGATGTTCTGGAAACCTTGTGCAGAAGCGGCCAGTCCCGTCGGGTGGGGCTCTCAGAGGGACAGCCACATCCGCCCTCTCCAGACTCCTAGGCAGGCTGACGGCTCCATTCCCTCTGGGCCAGGGCCAGCTCTGGTTTCCCAAACACGAAGTCAGCAGCTCTTGGCAGGCACTGGAGCTGCTGGCCACGCTGCGTAAGCCTCCAACACCCCTACAAGGAGCCCCTGATTGACCTGACCTCTGGCTACCTCCAACTCTGGCCAGTGCCAGGAGCCCAAGACCCTGCGGACACAGCTCTGTGTTCTTTTTCCTGGTGCTGGACTAGGCAATGTGAAGAAGAGCACTCACTTCATGTGCAAAGGATGCTGCTGACACATGTACACACTTCCTCCTCAGCCCTTCATCAGCCACATGCATTCCAGGAGAGTAACTTTTAAAATGCATTTCTTTTTAATTTGCTGCTTGTTTATATTAATGGGAAGAAATGTGAAGTGCAGGCTGCTTTACTGCCTGGAATTTGCTTTGTGTGGTTCTGGGGACCAGCGCAGACCTGAGTGTAGAGCCACTTGCTCACGACTTGAGTGTGTGCCCGCACCTTCACGCCTGCACCACCTGCAGGCTGGGTCCCACTGGGTCCAAAGTCACCAGCTCTGAGGCTTGGACGCTCTAGTAAGCCTTACATGTCGGGTTTCAGCTACTTGCATTGCTGGTGGCTCTCTCCAACATGGGGGCCCCAGAAACTTGGGGCCGGGAGGAGCTGGACTTTCTGGGAACACCCTGCCAGCTGTGGGCACAGGTGGTGTCGCAGGCAATGTGTGGGTGCTGGGCGGTGGCCCCCAAGACTCATGAGCTCGTCGAGTGCTGGACTTGCCAGGACTTAACTGTGAATCCTCCGTGATTCCTGGTTCCCCTGCAAGCCTCAGGGTGCAGCGGCTGGGTGCAGCGGCCGCACGTTCTTCTACACACAGACACACTTCTGAGGATGCTTTTAATGGCCACTCTCCACCACTCTTAGAATAATGCACACGCGACATAAAAGAACCTAGAAGCTCCAGCAGAGCAAACAGCAGAAAAAGTGCCAGGCTCCCCAGCCCTGTTCGCACTCAGGCCTGTTTAGCCTCCATGTGCATCAATAGCCACTTGGAATGAACACGCCCCCCAGCCAGCCCTGGTAAACCCTGCACCAGCCAGGGTGTGACCTGCCATGCAATCCTGTCCAGCTGTGAACGAGCACGTTGCATCCCTGGCCATGACCCCACCAGCACATGCCACTGAAACAGCATGAACACGATGGAGGGGGAACTGGCTTCGGGGTGACTATACAGAGACGCAGCCCCCCATGTGCCAATACCCCCCACAAACCAGATGCAAACCCCCTCAGCAGCACGTGCCAGAGGTCAGAGGGGCCGATCTCAGTGGCCTGGGAGGGGCAATGGGCCATGGTTCTCGTGGTGCTGAGCCAGCAGATGCAGCTCAGGAATGTCCACAAACAGACGTGTCGGCTTACCTGATGAGGAAGTCATGCAGCCCCACGTCAAAGTATCTGTCAAGGCAGAGAGACAAGCGTGTCAGCAGCAGACCCAGAGCAAGGAGCGCAGCGTACAGCCTCGGGCAACCAGTGCCTCCTCTGCCCCTGCACCCATGGGGCCCCCATGCACCCCCCAGCCCCTGATCCCAACCAAGGTCTGATGGAGCAGTCACTAGGGCTGGACCGTCAGGATGACCCAGTCAGCAAGTCAAGACCAAATGCTCCAAGGAGACGGTGGGCTTAGCCAGGGCAGGGCAGGATGCCGCTCCTCCCGGAACTGGGAGGCAAAGAATGGGCAGCGCAGTATCTGAAAATGACCCTTGGTAGCAAATTCAATGTCTTCATAGGCGACTCCTCCTCGGGTCTGCATCACCAGCCTCCCACGTTAGTTTCACGCTGACCACACAGGGTCCCGGCTTGGACTGCCCTGGGCTCTCCCTTCCCCGCCATCCAAACAGATCCCAGGGTTCGGAGCCACAGGCCCCAGGACTTTGCAGCCACCTTCCGCCACCAGCCTGTCTGCGGGCATCTCGGACCTGGCGGTGCCAGGTAATCTAAGTGATCATGACTGTTTCTCCTTCTCTGCCTATAGATTCTCTATTGAAATTCAGAACAACAAAGGTAAAGGTGGTTACGGAGCAATGATCTTTCAAGGGAAGAACCACCCAAGTCAGAGTCAAAGGGGCTCAGGTGTGGGGGCCAGGGAGAGGGTGGGCTAAACAAGGCTGTGGCTGGAAGGCCAGGACACAGGGCCTCCCCAGGACAGAACAGGGTAGACGGCACAGCTGTCCACAGGGTGTACCCACCAGTGCAGGGCCCAGCAGGTCACCAGGGGGCAGCGGGAGCTGAGGCACACGGGGCTTGGCCTCAAACAGGTCTTCTCCCAGGATGATGTTAAGGCCAGCCCTGGGGCCACACCTCAGGGCCCCATCAGAGGCTGCAGCCCCTCAGCTGACCGATGGCATGGTTGGGTCTCAGAGAGTCCAGCACTTGGGAATGTGAGGTGTCTGATCCCAAAGGGACTTCAAAGTTCTCTCATCCAGTGATCCCCCAGCTGCCCCCTGTGAAGTGTGTGTCCACATCTGAGTTAGAAAAACTAAGTCCCCTCCTGCTGGGTGTTAACCAAAAGTGACAGGCTTTGGTGGAAAAGAGATCTTACTTCAAGAAAGGGTGCAAAGCCAGAGCGGGAGCGAGCCCACCCTGGGGAGTTGCCCCCCAGCTGCAGAGACCCTAAGCTTGGGCCAGCAGCAAGTCAGCCTCCCCCCAACAGGGACAGGATGTGGAGTCTGACAGGGACAGCGCACAGATGGGTGACCGCGGCTCCAGGGCCTACACACCTTCACTCCAGCACCCACAGTGACCATTTCTAGCCCATCCCTCCCAACGCGTCCCGCTGATGACCGAGCCTCACAATAGGCCGTCGTCTGAGTGATGCCACAGGAACCACACGCCGGGATTAATGCACATACACACGGTGCTCATCTGCATGTGTGGACACAGAAGGGCCGTCAGTGCACCTGCCACACCCCCACCATCTCCTCCAGTAACCCCGCCAGGCGGGAAGGGGCCAGCGCCCCACTCTGCACAGGGTTACGAACGCTGTGAAAAGCTCACCCACCACTCTCCAAGCAGCAGCCCTGGACAGAAGGACGGCAGGGACAGAGCACGGCAGGACAAGCAGGCTGGCTGGGGCTCTACTACGGTCCCCAGCTCAGCCTCGTGGTCAGACTCCAGCCTGGGGTCTTTGGCCATTGCTCTGGAAGGTTCCAACTCCCCCAGGCTGGCTTGCTTTCTTCACTCCTCACCCCCATGTCCCTCCAGCTGATCTCCACACTCAGCCTCCCGGGGCCAGCAGAGCTGCTGCCCATGGTAACAGCTTAAAACAAGGTAGACTGGACCCTGGACACATGAGCTGTGGGAAAGGGCTGCCTGGCTGCGGACAGCTCCGTGTCGGAGGAGACCCCAGACCCTGCTCTCCTTCCAGGAAACTGGGTGCATAGCAGCCGTGGGGTCATTTCTCTATGAGGAGCCACAGGTGAGAGTCAGAGGTCTTCAAAAACCTCGCCACCCTCTTACAAAACCCTTGCCCTGGTTTGTGCAACAAGAAATGCTATCAGCCAGCTCCCGTAGGGCAGCCCCCAGCCGCCCGCCTGCCCCCAGCCACCCACCGCCAGGCCCTAGCTGCCTGCCTGGCCCTGCCCGCCTGCCATGAGCCCCCTTTGGCTCCTGCGCGTTCCTTCCTCAGGTTTTCCCCTGAGCTGTTAATTCACAGCATCCACTCAAAACTCAGCTCCATGGCAAAAGGGATTTATCTTCGTGCTCTGGAAGTAGATTTATGTTATAAAAACAAGCTTATCCTCACTCAGCAGAAACAAGCGCGGCGTATCACACAGATGCCTGTGCTGACGCTCCACCTCCAGGCCACATCTGCTCCTCTTCCCAAACAAACCTTCCATGCAGCACTGCGGAGACCAGAGTCCTGCCTGGTCTGGCAGCAGCCAGGGGCCGGGGCCCACACATGGGGACTAAGCAACCTCCCTCAGCGGGCCCTGCCCAGCATATTAGATGCCCTCTACCTGGAGCCCTCATTAGCATCTCCAGAACCTGATGTGTATTTCACAGCACCCCGCTCACCCCTACATGACCATACACACGCGTGCACACATGTGCGCATATGCAGAGAGACACAGCCTGAAGCTGGACGGAGCCTCGGAATTCAGGTAGTTGGTCGGCACCCACTGCATGCCGGGTCATAAGAGTTGGTCGGCACCTGCACCCAGGCCGCAGGACACCAGGGGTCGGGGCCTCCACTGGCTCCTCAGGGGTATGCAGTGGGATAAACGTGGAGCCTCACATAATCTCTGACCCTGGGCAGCGCTGCAGCTCACCCTGAAAACCCACTAATGGGGCTTGATTCGTGCACAACATTTCCTGTCCCACCATGTAGACACCCCGTGCCTCCTGCATGTGGCAGAGAGATGAGGCATGTGGGTTTCATGCCAAACACCAGCACAAAGATTCACAAAGGGCTGCTAACCCGGACAGCAGGTCACTGCTCGTGGACACACAGGTGGGGCACCCCTGGCCCCCAGGGCACCCCCGCCCCAACCTCCACGCGGGCCCCGAGGCCTCGTCCACTCAGCGCTGTCTTTGCAAAGGGAGACCCAGCTTCCAGCCTGAGGCGCAGGGAATGAGAAGCCACCGCCAGGAGCACGTTACACCTTTTAAGCTGTGAGAAATTCATTCAATAAATCGGCTGAGGCTGAAATCTAATTAAATCTGAAAGTGGTGTCAGGGAGCCTCTCTGGTGGCACAGGCAAGAGCGCAGCACTGTGAAGCTGTCCGCAGCCTCTGCAGTGCCGGTTCCATCCCTGCCGGCCTCAGAGCAACCCACATGGTGAACAGACCTCTCCTGTCTCGACTGCTGCGCCCCTCAGCAATGTATTTTGTCAATCTGCCTGTTCTGTTACCTACTCTGTCTCTGATGAATCCTCTCACCCTCCCGCACATCTGGCCTGTACCCTGGTTCTTATATAAATAAAATAAATCTTCAAAAAAAAAAATAAAAGAGGCGTCAACCTGAACTCAAATAAGATTGCCTGGAGCGAGGGGGAGAGTGGGGTGGCCCCCTTGGGGCACATCAGGGTGGCTGGGACGCTCCCCAGGACCCCGCGGGCTGCCAAGATAGCAGCCCCAGCCAGCCCCTCCCACCTAGGCAGACACGCTCTGTCTCGGGCTGGCTGCAGAAGTAGCTGACCTTGCCCGCTGAACTTTGATAAAGAAACACATGGACCTTTGATTCAGAAAACCAATGACTTACTTTTTACCTTTCCAATAATCTGAATGCACCAGGTTAATAAAGCAGGATGCCACACTGCCTTCCAGAGACGGAAGTTCCGTCTGAGGCTGGGCTGCCCCTTCCCAAGACCCCACCTGACTTCCAGGCCCTCCTCCATGCCTTCACTCCAGCCCACGACTTGCCATGGGCTGACTCAGCACATGAACTTGTCTCCTCAATGACAGTCACCTGTATCCAACGTCACCGCTTGATGTACTTTTGTCACCAAAGGCAGCCACCTGGCACCCAAGCGAGCCACAGGGGTAGGCCAGGCCCCAGCACCTGTCCCATCAGCTCCTTTCGGCCGCCAGCGAGGCTGCTTCTGCCTTTATCTGTCTGTGAGCCATTTCCTTTCTAGAAAGTACTGGTGTGTGGTCAGGGTCCCGAGTGGTAGAAGCTGTGCTGAGCCCCCAAAGGCACCCTGGTCTCCATCTCAGACTGGCCACGAGCAGGCCGGGTGCTGGACTGGAGCAGACACTCAGCTGGACCCAGGCCGGTCCAGCCTGGGCCTGCGCCACCCTCAGTCCCTGCAGGGCACACTGTGACCAGACAGAGACACAGCAACAGGTGAAAGAGGCAAGAAGAGAAAGCAGAGGTGAGGAAAGCAGTGAAAGACCCGCCCCGGGAATCTTAGTCATCCCCCAAGCCCCTGGCCAGGATGCAGTGAGCTCCAGGGTCCAGGATGATGCCAGGACAGCACCCGCGGTGTTTCCCTCCTTGGTACTCAGCCACACCTGCCTCCCGCAGGGCACAGCACCTGCCCACGCCAGCCACCTGCCCCGCAGCTCCAGGCCTCAGGCGAGGCCAGCAGGACCGGGCAAGGCCAGCTACTTCTGCAGCTGCTCCTGCTCATCTGCCACGGCCAGGACCTATGTTCTGCCGGGACCCACCATCCAGGCCATCAAGGCCACCTGGGAAAAGGGGATCAGCACCTCCCCAGCCCAGACTCCCCTGTATGCAAGGCTAGCAGCCACCCTCCATGCTCAGATTCCTGAATATGCTGGGATGCGCGAGTCTGCTGAGAAGGGTGGGGTACAACAGAGAAATGGGGAGCAGGCAATGCCAGAGGCCCGAGGCAGTGGAACTGACTCGCGTCCCCGAGGCCCTGGGCCTCCCATCACCCTGCCCTGCACATGCAGAGCAAAGCGTCAAGTCCTGCCCACAATCGGTCTCTGCTTCGGAAGCGTGGACATGGACGTCCTCCAGTGACACCTGGTGCTTGCAGGACACTGAATTAGAACACGCGTCCAGAAACGAAGCTGAGACCCCTCAACCGCTCAGATTCCACAGTCATGGAAAAGCCGCGTGGCTGGGGCCCCCTGGCTCCCTGGGGCTTTATGTGGCTGCACATGCTGGAGCTGGAGCAAGCGGAGAAGCGCCAGGGGCACAAGCCAACCCACTGTCAAGCCGGGCCCCGTGGACAGCAGTTTCCATGCCCAGCGGCAGCGGTCATGTCAGGGAGCGTTATCTGTGCCATGTGGGTGGATGCCAAGCCCACCCCACCCATAAGTAACTGAGAGATGCGGGTCAGCCACCCAGGGGTCAGATGGTCAGGTGGGAGACTCCCAGAAGCACCTCCAACCTCCTCAGTGCCCCACCTCGCTCAGCACCATTAGCCACCCCCTGGAGCCTGCTTTCTTGCCTCCACCCTGCCTTATGTTGGCCAAGGGAGTGGAGGCTGTTGCCCAGCAGAACAGCATCCTCGACATTGTACCCTCTGGCCCTGCCTAGCGCTGACCAGATTGGAGAGGGAGCAGCGGCACTCGGAGAACAGACATGGCTGCTTCTGGGAAAAGGCAGGGGGCTGGGCCAGACATGGACACAGTGCCGCTCCCAGGCAGACGGCATCTGCAGGCGTGGCAAGTTTCAATCAAAAACTTGCGTGAGCTTTGACTCATGCACCGTGGCTTGCAGAGGCCCCCTGGCCCCTAGAGCCTGCACCTGCTGGGTGGCCCTCCTGGTGCCCAGTGAGGACCAGACATGTCCAAGTGCAAACAATAAACTAGAGGTCACAGCAAAGCATGGCAGGAGAAGCTACACCTCAAGGCCCAGGGGAGGACGGTGAGGCCCAGCCCCCTGGAAAGCAGGATGGCGTTTTGTTGGGCTGGTGTCTGAGCCTCAGCCTGGTTCTGACCCGAGGGGCTGAGGCCATGGGGCTCTTTCCACCTGGATCCTGGAGACAGGTAAGGGTCCGTGCAATGTGAGTTTCAGTGGACTAAGATGTTAGAGGATGGTCATTCTCAATATCTAGTTGCTGTTCAAGCTGCTCTGTGGCAACGGACACTGGCACTCAAGGACACAGAGCCAGAGCCCACCCGCCCAAGGAGCCACACTGCTCATTACACAGCCCAAGGGGAGCTTTCACCCAAAAAGGCAAAGGAACCTCACTTGGTTCACACCAGAAGAAGTGGCCCCCATCACACTGGTTCCAGCCCGTGGACCCAGGAAGCTGCCAACCAGGCTCCCCTGCAGGCTGGCTGTGCCCCAGGCCCTCTCACAAGGCGGCAGCCACAAGTCACGGGTGAGGACAAGTCAAAGCCATGGCCTGACCACCTGACATTTCTCATTCAAGAAGCAAACTGGGCCAGAGCCAAGCTAGACCTGCTCGTGCCCACACATCATCTGGAGAGCCAGGCCGTGCCTGCCGTCCACCTCTCTGCAGCAACAGCAGCTGACTCCTCCCATGCATCTGGGCTCCTCTGGCCACGGGGGGAGGGGTGTGTGTGTTTGTGTGTGTGGCAGACAGGCTGGATGGGCCACAGGGGGTGGGTGGCGATCCCAGCAAGCCGGGTTGGGAGGCAGAGAGGGGCCGACACCCACGCATACAGGAGACGCTCCAGGCCCATCTGCTGTGCAGGGCAGGGGCAGCCTGTCACTGGCCACATCCTGAGGGACAAGCCAGTGCAGCAGCCTGAGGCAAAGAGGGGCTGGCGCCTTCAGATGGAGCCCAGGACCTTGCTGGGCTTGGTGAAGAGCGGGAGGTTCAGAGCACCTGCCCTGTGCTCGGCATGGGTACCCGCCTGCCATGACCAGAACAGCCCTGGAGGCGGCAGCACCATACAGGGCAGCCATCATTGCCTAAAGGGGAAACTGGACACTTAGAGCCATGCAGGCAATGGCCAGACACGAGCTGAGAAACACCAGCACTGGATGCTGCCCGGCCCACAGAGGCCCGCAGCCCAGGAGGCCTGCAGACTTCAAGAGAAAGCAGTCTGTTCCAATCCCAGGCCCTTCCAGACAGCCCTGCCCCCTGGTCAGACAGGGGGGCTGACCATCCCTGTGCAGACAGGGGGACCCGCCCTCCCTGGGCGGATGGGGGGACCCACCTCCCTGGGCAGATGGGGGCCAATGCCTAGGCCATCCCCACAGGACAGGCCTAGGCCGGGTGTCGAGGCGGCTTCAGCAAGGGGCAGGTAGAAGCCAGTCCGCCCTGGACCGGTGTGCGGTGGTGACGCCCACTGACCTCCACATCCCAGTGAAGCTGCACATGGTGCTTACACAGCGGGGCAGCGGTGGTGGTGAGAGCCCATCCAGGCGCATGAGCAGACCAGGGACGCCGAACAGCACCAGGTACTTGACGTAGAAGAAGAGCACCTGGGCCAACGCCAGTCCTCCTGTGGGACAGTAGGCGTCAGACAGGCGGGCAGCGCCCTGGGGACGGGGCACCTTGAGGATGGAACCCCACCCTGATGCCCCGCCCCGCATCCCCCGCCCCATAGTCTCCAGATGGAGCACGACCAGGACACTCCCACCCACCGCCCCCAGACTATGAGAGCCGCCTATGCAGGGGTTCTGACAGATGTAATTTGGACTGACCAATAATGAGGTCCTCTTTATCACTGTGGCAGGCAGTGGGGGGACACAGGTATCTGCTATGGCAGAAACCACTGCAGAGATGGACCCTTCCAAGCCCCAAGCTCCCGCCCATGTGAGTCATGAGGTCTGCTGGACTCGTGGGGTGGCCGGAAGCTGACATACAGCCAACCCGGACACTGGCCTGGTGGCCCCTCGGGGCTGAACCAAGCTCCAGAGCCACCTGCACCCCCAGCCTGCGGTGTGACTACTCAGCTGCCGGTGCCACGCAGCGCCCACACAGATGAAGGCCCACACGCCTGGTATGGCTGCCACCAGGGAGGAGGCACGGCAGGTCCCAGCCACCGGAGCAGGCCCCTCCGACCTAATCCCCCTGCGTGGGGACATGGAACAGCCAGACCGCGCTGGCTGAGGGTCCAGCGCTGGGGCAAGGAGGCCGGCAGGTGGGAGGCTGGTGGTGGCATCTTGCTGAGGGGCGGGTAAAGAGCTTAAACCGGGACAGGCTGCAGTAGGTGCAGCTCTGTCCACCCAGGAAGCTTCCAGTCCACTGCTGTGTGGCACGTGAGCCTCTCAACGCTGCCAGAGAGACCCTGGGGCCCAGGGCCTGCTGGTCTGAGACCCCAGCCAGGTGCACGTGTGGGGCAGCTAGAAGTACACGCCGGCACCAGAGGCCTCGGGTGTCCTGCTGGGAGTGACCACATCCTCTGCAGGGCTCAGGCTCTGCCAGCCACCTCCTCTCCAGCACTCCCTGGCCAGCTGCTTCCACCTCCGCCCTGGGAGGGGGTGTATGGCTGGGTTCCGGCCGCCAATGGGGTGGTGAGGAGCCGGTTCTATCTAGACACCGCACATCGCTCTGCACAGAGCCAAGTGAGCCTGACCTCACTGGGCCCATGATGCAGGTACAGGAGCAGGAACCCCACGGTTATGCGCCTGCAGTTCACCCACCACCGGAGCTCTAAGGCCCAGGGCACAGGTGCAGTGGCTGGGGTGATGCTTTAATGTGCTGTCACCGCCATGTCTGCGGCTTCGTCTCCCAGGAAGCTGCATCCTTGAGCGTGACCATCCTGCTGCTGTCTCCGGGCCGGAGGATGAGCACCTTGTGAGACCAGGCCAAGGTTTTGGGGGAGAACCACAAGGGGGGGTGGGTGGGGAAGCAACCAGGGTACTGGCCTCCAGCTCTGGGAGGACTGACTTCTCACCGAGTGATGAGCAGCCACGGGTCACTGTCCTGCCTTGAAGGGTCTCAAATGTGTGCGTGTGGTATGTGCACATGTGTGGGGGCAAGTGTGTATGTATGTGAATGGGGTGAGTTTGTGGGGGTGAAAACCTACGCCAGAGCTAACCCCCAGCTCTGCCAGAGCAGCGGGCCTCAGACACCGGCAGCCAGACTAGGGCACTGGATGCTGCACCAGCCCAGCAAAGGCCACGATGTCTTGCGGGACCAGCACCAGTAGGCTCCGAGACCTGCCTGGTATCCAACCCTGGAGATTAATTGGGGGTCAGGAGAGGGACCGAGGGGCCAGCAGGAGACGCAAACACAGAGTCTTCACCACCCTCGTGTGACACAGAGCACACGTGGTGCCCACAGCGGGTCAGAGACCGAGACCCTGGCTCCCCGCCTCAGGAGGCCTGACCCGTCAGGAACAGAGGTGCATTCCTCCCAAATGCGGAACACTTGACATCCTGGCTACTGGGAAAGCTACTTCTGAATACTTTCCGATTAGGGTTCAAATCTCCAAAAAGCCTCTCTTCAAAGACAGCGCACGGTGCCCGGGATAGGAGCAGTCACCTCACAGACCAGCAACCCCCACCGCATCCTCTCTGATCACGGGTTGTGGACGTTGCTGGGAGGGGGTGGCGACTGGGAGCCCCGACTGCCCATGCAGAAGAGCAACGTCCAACTGCTCCATGAAAGAGCAAGTGCTCATGAAACCAGAAGGCTCGAAAGCATTTCCACGGCAACGTGAGTTTAGGATCTTAAAAACTGACGAGGGCCCCTGAACACATGCCGAATGAAGAGTTTATCAAATCCGCAAAAGCCTCCGCTCGCCTGAAACCTGTGTGGGAAGACTGACTGCAGAAGCAAAGAGGCAGTACACACACACTCACACATTCACACTCGTACAAACTCACACTCACACTTCACACACATGATCACACATGAGGAAGAAGCCGGTCAGCAGGGCCCATGGCTAGTGGGGCCCCCGGGCAAGGCAGTCCCCCAGGCCCAAGCGCCCCAGGCACGTCGGGCTCATAAGGGAGCCGGCCCAGCACAGGTGTCCATAACCTTGACACTTGGGCAAGCCCAGCTCCGGCAGGCCCGGATCCCCCATGGCATGCACTGGCTGCCCCTTTCAAGGGCCTGGACAAGACACTGCCGGGCCACGTGGCAGGCATCCTGGCCAGTGGCTCAGGCTGAAGCCTGTTCCGCAGGGCCGCAGGTTGCTGAAACTGTCTACAGCAAAGTGTATTCAAATGCACCCCAAGAGAGGAAGGGGGAGAACCAGGAAGGATTTGAAGGTCCTCAGTCTGGTGTAGGGCAGGGGTGTACGTCTTCTAAAGGGAAATTAGCTTCCCAAAAAGGCCACCCCACCCCCCACTCCTCTGTGTGGCTAGGCCCCTCTTCAAAGACCCCCGACACGGAGGCCCCTTGGGAAGCATGTCCAGGACAGAACTGAAGGAATGAAGGAAAAACAAACATCACCCGTTGCCACGGAGTGCCCAGAACCAGAGGGTAGCACTGGGGCAGCGCTGCCAATTGTGTTCCTCCTCCCTGAGGGGCCTCAACCCCCAGCACTGCTGACCTCCCGCCTTGCAGGAACTGGCATCCACACCTGACCCACCCACCCTGGGGCAGGCCCTCCCTGCGTGTGAAGACCTTGAGGGGCTTCTGTGGAGGCTGGGGCACTCCCATTGCCCTCCGGCAGCCCAGGCCACCCACCCTGCCACACAGATCTGCCCCGGGCCCAGCCTGCCTGGGGTATAGGTGCTGCCTCTGCCCTCCTCCCTCTCGTCCAGGCAGGTGCTGATGGCCCCTCCCAAATCCCCAGTGAATGCCCCACTCGAGTCCTCGCCCAGCTCCTCATTCACCAAAACAGCCCAAGAGAATGTGGTCAGGTTCCTTAACACCTGCTGAGAGAGCAGGCCCCCACGAGCACTCTCCTACCCGCCAAGCTGGCCCTTAGGCCATTCCGCAAAACCAAGCCCAAATCCTGTCCTAAGTCCTCTTTGCTTAGATGCGACCAGGGTCCCTAGCCCTAAAGGCACAGTAAATCCCCCTCCTCCTCCTACAGTGCTCGCTGCCCAGCCCACAAACCATGCTCCAGCTCCCACCAACCAGTGAGGCAGAAATACAACTTTGTTCAAGTGTCAGCAGATGTGGCCTGGAAGAGACCCCTGGTTAAAGTTGACTGCAGGCTCCCCGAGTCCCTGTGGGAGGCTGGAGCACAGCCCCTGAGCGCCCAAGCCAGAGTGACGGCCACAGGCAAGTCCACAGCCCAGCCACGCAGGCCAGCAAAGACGGCTCTTTACCAGCCAGGCCACCTCATAGTCTCAGGGCAGGGAAGACACTTCAATTGCCAAAGACACTTCAACTGCCGGAAGACTAAAAGACACAGTAAAATTAAAATGCATCAATCTAGCTCCAATAACAAATTCATCAAAAGGTAAAAAATTAGCATCAAGCCACAAACCAAAGGAAAATAGTAACATTTGCTCTTGCTGCGTTAGCTGGAACATCCCTGAGGGTGTTGAAGGGAGCGGCAGGAGTGGTGACCCGGCATCCTGCCTGCCTGTCCTCATCTTAGCGGGAGAGGACCTCGTGTCTCCCCTGTAAGCACTGTGGTACCCGAGAACGCTCCATCTCCCCTCGTTTGCGGAGAGTTTTTAATCATGAGTGGATGTTGGGTTTCGTCAAATGCTTCGTGTGTGTGTGCCGTATGAGCATACATTTTTTCTTCTTTAGCCTGGGGAGGGGATGGATCAATAGCACAAACACGTATGACAGAGAAGAAAAACAAAAACCTATAGTCCTGGACAGGACACCTGCTCAAGCCCATTAGCAACCAGGGAGACATACACCAAAGCTGCCACGAAATCACATACACTGGATTTCAAATGAAAAGTCAACACCAAGTGTTAATGAAAATTTGAAACAATAGGGTACAAGTGGGGTCAATGAAGTTTGAGAGTAACTGGGCCTTACCTTGCCCATCAGGACATGCGTGGTACCCTTGCCCAGCAACTCCACGCACAGGCCAGCACTGAAGCAGCATTTAGAGACCCTGGACAGTGACTCACCCAATTTAGGAATTTCCAATCAGCATTATTGGTTATTAATTACTAAAACAGTACAGAACGGAAAAGCAATCAGAGCACACTGTAAGCGCTTTAGGTGACATAGTCCCCGGGACGGTTAATGTGTGCGCTCATGAATGCACACACATGCGCGCGCGCACACACACACACACACACACACACACACACTCACTCACTCTCTCTCTTTCTCTCTCTCTCTCTCTCCTGCAAGACTGATCGTCCTGCTGGGTGGAGGACAGAAAGGACCCCACGGCGCACTCAACAGTGAGAACACAGCAGACACAGGGGATTCTCTGAAATATCGTTTTAAGTGAAAAAAGCAAGTCACAGAAGAAATCACCTATGAATCTCCATAGGAAAATTTCTTAAAATATGCAGTTTCAGGAATCTAACCATGGTAAAATCATCACAAAGACAGGGACAGCTCTTTGCCCTAACAGCAAGGAAGAGGCAGAACTAACGTAACACTGACTTGTTAGGTCTGTGAGAGGTCATGGGGCACAGTGCTGCCCCCAAACTTGGGGAGCTCATGCCCACAGCCACCTGGAACAGAAGCCCTTGCAGGAAGCAGCGCTGTGCAGGAAACCTCACCTGCAAGTCCGTCCAATGGGGCCAGCACTGCCCTGATGCCAGCGCCAGTCAGAGTCGTCCCAAAGAATCTAGACCGTGGTCTCTTACTAACACAGATGCAAAAACCCTCAACATGAACCAATCAACTCCCACAATGCACAGAAACAACTACACACAACCAGTGATTGATCCCAGGAAGGCAAGGCTGGCTCAGCATCTGAAAATTCATTCCTGTGATCCATCCCCTCCCCAGGCTAAAGAAGAAAAAATGTATGCTCATACGGCACACACACCCGAAGCATTTGACGAAACCCAACATCCACTCATGATTAAAAACTCTCCGCAAACGAGGGGAGATGGAGCATTCTCGGGTACCACAGTGCTTACAGGGGAGACACGAGGTCCTCTCCCGCTAAGATGAGGACAGGCAGGCAGGATGCCGGGTCACCACTCCTGCCGCTCCCTTCAACACCCTCAGGGATGTTCCAGCTAACGCAGCAAGAGCAAATGAAGCAAAGCTACTCCCTAGGGGAAGGACTGTCTACACAGAACCCCCCGAGGAGGACTGTCTACTACACAGAATCCCCCTGGGGAGGACTATCTACACGGAATCCCATCACTGCCTTGGCTCAGAGGTCAGTTGACTACATTTACGTGGACCTAGTTCTGGGTTCCCTAGTCTGTTCCACTGATCTCTTTGTCTATTCTTTCATCAATATTGCACAGTAAGTCTTGACATCAGATGTGGCAATTGTCATTGTCAAGCAAGGGTCTTCCTTTCTTCCCAGTTTGGTTTCACTACAAACTTCCTCACTGTTTTGTTCCACTCTCCTAGCTACAATACAAGCAGCACAGTCCATGCAAGAAAGCTGATGAGCCAAACTTATGAACATGTGCAACTCACTCTACAGAAGACACTAGCAAGTGAGCAGACAAGCCACGGACAGGGAGAAAGTCTTTGCAAAAGACATGTCTGATGAAGGACTACTGTCAAGAACACAAGTGTGGAACCCAGCAAGAATGAGGGGCACAGGCTGCTGGAGGAGACAAAAGGGCAGGGTGCTCGTGGCGAAGCTCCTGCCCTCATCCCCAAAGAGATGGAACTCGAGACGATGCCAAGCTGCACTGCAGGCTGCAGGGACAGCCACAAGCCAGGCGCTGGGGGCATGAGGGCCAAGGATGCACGAGGCACCACTGCCTGGGGCAGGCACCTGCAGCAGGAGATACAACCTGCTGCTCAGAAGGGGCCAAAATGCACATCCTCCCAGAAACACACACAGATCGTCCGTGGCAGCTTTACTCTTGGCTGCCGAACTCAGTCACCATGATGTACCTCAGCAGAGAAGGGATGAACCATGGCCACTCCAGGGAGTGTCACTTGGCAGCACAAAGCTGCCAGCTGCCAAGCTGGACCACAGGCAGCACCAGACACGGATGTGCATTGTCAACTGTTCATCTGGGCAAGCCGCAGCCTGTGCAACTCTGGCCCTAAGGTGCTATGGAAGGGGTGGTGACAAGATGGGTGGCTCCCAGAGGTGAGCAGGATGCAGATGGCAGAGCAGTGGAGACGCTGCAGGCTGTGAGAGCCCACTGACCCAGCATCCGTGGCCTGTCCTCCCGCAGGCCGCGTGGTACCAACTGGCTGGGGCGACCGTCGACGCAGGGGCACCCGCTCAACAGAGGTCACCCGATGGGGACGCGGACAGCAGGGCCTTTCACCCTTCTCCATTTGGTTGTGAACCCTAAGCTGCTCTCAGAGTGTTTTCTAAAGTACTTTGAATGGGGTAACGGCAACCCCCAATCAGGTTCTCTGGGCTGGGAGGCTGAAAGCAACGGGGCTGGCTTCCATGCTCCTGGTTCGTTCTTGAGCAGGATGTAGACACGAGTGGGTCGCTGGTGCTTTTCCGGGACACCAGGCTCCCCCGTCTCAGGCTGGCTTGGGGTGGGGGGCGCCGCAGGGAGATAGCTTTCCTCACTGCCTGCGCCCGAAACTCAGTTACAGACACCGGCCCAATGTGGTGTCCTGATGAAAGCGCTACCACCAGGATGCTATGTAAACCACCTTTTACTCTGACTCTGTCTAGCCACACCGTTAAAGCTAAGAAAGTCAGTCACCCCAACTGAGTAATATTCTCTGGAAAGAGATGGTCAGTGATGCAGCTCGGCCCTTCCTAGACAGCCTGTGTGCACATGGCACCAACTAAAAGACTCTTCCAAGTCCACACCCCACGGTGGAGGAGGGGCGGCTGCTTTTGGGCCATGGGGGACAGCTTCAACAGGCAGGAAGATCCTCATGTCTCCATCAGGCCACAGCGCTGAAGCCGGTCACCCCAGTGTTGCAGGAGGTGCAGAGGAGAACGTGGGAGGCCGCTCAGCAGGGTGTGGCCAGCGGCCTGGGCCAGAGGAAGGGAGCAGAGACCAGGCCTGTGTGGAGCCCTGCTGCTCCCCCACCCTTGAACCTGGAGTGAGACATACACCCGCCTGTAGGATTCCAGGATGGGGACAGGCAGGGGGAGCCAGGGGAGGGCCGGGCACCACCACTCCCTCCATCTGCTGGACGCTGAGGCAGCCCCTGACCTGCTTGTTTCCCCTCATTCTCCAACCACTTGCCCAGGGAGTCCTGCCCATGTGGCGACGAAGATGCTGAACTGCACGCCTACTGTACGCAGAACCCAGGGCTGTGGGGCCACGTATGTGGGCAGTGCCTCCAAGCAGTGACCCAGGAGCTGCCCTGGCTTTGCCATACATGCTTTAGTCCTGAAGCACAGCCTCTGCCACCTGTGCACGCACCCCGGCCATGGGGACAGCCCTGCACCACCCCGTGCCACCACCTGCACTCACCTAGGGCCCAGCTGGAGACGGCCCGCAGCAGGGGAGCACTGCCACACAGGGCGTGCGTGTAGGCGAGGTGCAGCATGAGCTCCGCCAGGCACCACCAGCACAGCAGGCGGCCCAGGCCCAGGCCCAGGCTGACCACTGGGGGGCGGGGCGCTGGCCGCTGCATCTGCAGTGGGGACAGAAGGGTGGTCAGAGGGCACCCAGCTCAGACACCTTCACGCAGCCCGGTACCGCCCACAAGGATTGCACCATGAGGAGGGGCTGGTTGATGGGCCTCAGGGATGGCGCTGCGGTGACAAGGTCACAGCCAGACTGAGGATGGGGGCATCAGCAGTCAGGTGCCGTACCCCTGCACCTGCCCCTGCTAGGGGCAGGTGTGCCCTGGCCTCTCCTGGGGACTGGGGGCCCTGAGCTCCACGGGGCCTGCATGTCTTCTCCTACCACCACTCACGTCCAAGGCTGGAGGGAGGGGCTCAGTGGGGCCGTGACATCGACCTGCAGTTACTTCTGGGACTCAGCAAAGATTCAGCAGGCAGGAGGGGACACAGGCCTCACCAGTGGTGGCTGAGGACAGCTAAGCACGGACAGCAGGGGAGGCGGGGCCAGGCCGGGCCAGCTGGTAGTCCCGAGTTGCTTCACCTCTGAGCCTGGACCAGGGCGCACGATGCTCGGCCCAGCCTGCAGAGCCCAGACACACCCGCCACTCAGCGAAGCCCCCAGCACCACGTCCCATGTTTCTCGGACGGGGCCCAACGCCCAGGGGGACAAGGCTTCTGGTGATCCAGATATAGGTGGAGTCCACTCACCCCAGGGCCACAGATCAGGCACAGACGCCAGGATTGCTGCCTGGCCCCACGGCCACTGTCTGGGCCCCACGGTGGCTCAAACAGTGGTTCTGGCCACCGTGAGCAGGCCACGCAACCTGGGGTCAGCCAATGCCTGCCCCCAACCAGACAGACAGACGGATGGGGCCTGCATGTTTCCAGGGTCTTGTGCCAGAGTTGCGGCCTGGAAGCAGGTGCCGAGGGCCACTGAGGCACCGTGAAGCTGGGTCTACAAACAGCAGCTGGACCCAGACCTTGGTGGTCAGGGGAGACTGTGTGGGCACCAGCAGCAGCACGCAGGCCATCTCCCGGCCCCCCTGACATGAAGGTGGGGCCCTTGGCGGGGTCAGTGTCCATCCTCATTTTACATTAGCTCTGACTCCACTTTCCACCACTTCCTGGAATGCCCTCCCACCTTGAGAGCCAGACTGAGGGGTGGGGGGTGGGGGCATCACCATAACCTGGTGAGCTGGGCTGGGAAAGCCTGTCCAGCTTATCAATTTGTATTAAAAAAATTAAACAGGGGCCTCCCCTGGTGGCGCAGGTGGTTGAGTGCCACACTGTGAAGCTGTCAGCAGCCCCTGCAGCACCAGTTCGATCCCGGCTGATGGGCAAGGGTCCAACATGGTGCAGCAGACCTCTCCTGTCTCGCCCGCTGGTTCCCTCAGCAGTGTATTTCATCAGTCTGCCTGTTTTGTTCCCCGCTCTGTCTCTGGTGAGTCCTCTCACCCTCCCGCACATGTGGCCTATACCCCGGTTCTTGTATAAATAAATAAATCTTTAAAAAAAAATTAAACAGGAATTTCCTTTTCCCTTTTATTTTCCTGTCTGATTGGTCTGGCAGGAAGGCCCCCAGAAGGTCTTCCCCAAGAGGGAGGCCAGACCCCAGCTTACAGGCTAGATGCCAGCGACTCCCACTCAGCAGCACCTGGGCCCTGCAGGCCCCGACCCAGTACCACCCAGGCAGCATCCACTGAGCCCTCAGCTCTGGCTGCAGCTCAGCCGGACTTGATGGTCCACAGCGGAGAACAGGCCCAGGACACCCAAACCCCCACGCACAGATGCCCCCAGTCCCTCCATATGACTTTGTAGTATCAGAGAAGGAGGCCAGAGCTTGACAACCAATAGGCCGGCTTGTGCCCCCCCCATGCTAGCTTCTGCTCGAGCACCCCGGGAAGAAGGCTAGGCGAGCCGGGAACTGGTCGGTATCAAGAACCAACAGTTGTGCTCGTGGGGAGCCAGCAACAAGCCCCTGGGGCTCTGCACCCCCCACTACTGAGGCAAGGCCCGCATCCTCACCTCCCTCTGAAAACAATCACGGGAAGCTGTCCCACCCACCCCCACACCAGCTGCTGCCTCCTCTCCTGGCCATGCCTGCCCCTCACTCAGGTTCCCAAGAGGGCACTGAGCGCCTGTGTTCACACTGCCAGGCCAGGCCTCTGCACCTGAGCACCCATGGGGGCCAGGGCCACACCAAGGTCAATGCCAGGCTGGACGGTGGCTGTCCCAACCGGAGGGCCTGCCTGGAGTCGGCCAGGAGGGAAGCCCAGGTCCCTGCCAGGCGTGGCCTTGGGGGCCTCTGATTTCTAAGCAAGGGGCCAGGGATGGCTGTGGGCCAAGCACCTGCCCGCCAGCTCATGTGCCCAGCCAGCCCCCATGAAGGCATTGGGCACCCGGGGTGCAGTCCAGTCCTGCAGTGGGGACACAGCTGGGCTGGAGGACCCAGACAGTTGTGAAATGTGGTCCACGCTGTCCCCCCTCAGCCACGTCGGAGGCCGTGCCACCCCCTAGCAATGTGTGGTCTGATGCGGCACAGACAGGTGTCCAGTCAGGGTCGGGCCTGAGGGGGGCTTCACAGCTGCCTGGTCCCTGCAGCGGTCTGTGGGCCACCGTCCCATGCCAGGCACCTACAGGTAGAAGCCCTGGGCTGGACGGGGAAACAGGCCAGACGAACATAGGCTTCTACCCAGAGCGGCCACCGGCCCCCATTCAACCTCACTGACCTCAGCATGTGGAAGTCCAGTGTCTGCCCCACTCACAGGCAGGAGGAAGACAGGAGGGGGACAGGCTGCCAGCTCTACCAGTGCCATATGCACGGGGCTCCATGCCGAGGGCGCTGGCCCAGAGGCTGGAAAGCGCCATCAGTGGGAATTTTCAGTGGAGGCTCCGGAGGAAGACATATTTACTTGTCTGAAAAGTGCATCTTAAAACACATTGTATTTTAAAACCTCATTTTATGCAAATTGCATAAAAGGAACATCGAGTCTGTTCCAAAGGCCGATCAGAGATGGCAACTGGGGGTTGGGGGCAGCAATGCAGGCCCAGCCCCACCGACAGCCTCCCAGGCCACCCCTCCTGCCCTGCCCCATACTGCCTGCCACCACCAGCAACCTGGCTCCTGCCAGGTGGGGCTGCCCCATCCCTGGCCTCAGCCCGAGTCCCAGAAGCCCGGCCTCCCCTCCATGCTGGAGGGGAGCGGACGCAAAGCCTGCGGTCGGGGGGCCACAGCTCAGGACCAGTTTCTGGCCTGCCCTGATCCAGCCGCTCGGGCCCAGCCCATGCCCCTCACTGGCCCCGTGGGGTCCCCCCACCTTTCCTCCTCTCACACCCATCTGCCTCTGGTCAGCTGTCCGGTGGCTCTCAGGGACAGTGACAAGGGCCTGTTTCCAAGGTTGTCATGAGGATGGCACAAGCCGCCCAGGACCGGGTGGGGATGGAGTGGGCACGCAGCCAGCATCACAGTGATGGTCACCCAATGGCTCTGTGAGCCAGAGCCCAACGGGAACCCAGACATTGGGTCCTGGGGCCCCTGGGCCTCTCTTCTGAGGACCCTGGAACCAGCATGTGCACCTCTCCTAGAGCCAGAACCTGCCAGACCCCCTGCAGCCATGCCACAGCCCAGACCGAATGCCCACAGCCCTGGTTGTGCTGGCCTCGGGTGACCAGTGATGGTCATGGCACAGTGCCCTGCATGGGCTCATACCTGTGCCAAGCCACCCGGCCCCCAACAGTCCCCGGGGGTCCTATCAGATCCCCCGTTTCATCGATGACGAGGAGCCTGAGTCACCACTGGGCCAGAGCTCAAGCCAGAGCAGAGCGGCCTGGCCGTGTAGTTACACACCTGGAGGGCTCCTGAGCCCCCCACCCAACCCCAGGCACTGGCTCCTTCCTGCATGCTCCAGCCTGGTCCAGGGAGGGGGTGACCAGCAGCCTGTCCTGCCCTCCAAGAGCCTGACCCCACCTCAGGGCTGCCTGGAGCCCCCAGTGCCTCAGAGACAGCCCTGGGGGCAAGGCCAAGTCCTCGGGCCATGGAGGCTGCTGTCCTGCCTGTGGAGCGTGGTGCCCTCTGCCCCCACCCAACCCAGAGCCTCACCTGCCTAGAACCTCACCTGCCTAGAGCCTCACCTGCCCTGGAGCCTCACCTGCCCTGGAGCCTCACCTGTCTGGGCTTCCTGGGCTGAGTCTACCTGCCTAGAGGCCCAAAGCTGGCAGCTCCGCCCCGGCTCATCTCCAGGTGGGGCTCTGCTGCCCCCTGGTGGCACCGCCTTCTCTACCTTCACCAGGCCGGTCCTGGCCACCCGACTTCCTCCAGCCCTGGCTGGGGCATGCCGCTGGCCGTGGGCCCCCTCCCACAAAACCCAGCTCCCTCCAGGCCTGTCAGGGGTCCCCACCTCTGTGCGTGCTCCCTCCTTTAAAGGCCCTCAGACCCACCTCCAGGTGCTGCTGGGGCAGGCGCCCGACCCGTTTCTCCCCATCACGCCGACTCTCCCATGAGCCTCCCATGGGGTGGCCATGGGGCGGCCCGGCTGCCTCCCAGGGCCCTCTGTCAGCCCCTCAAGGCACCTGGGGATGGAAGATGAGCCCAGGTATGAGCGGAGCCTCCAAGCCAGTGTCCTCACGGGCCAGCCCCTGCTCCCTGCAGAGCGAGACATGGGGCCCAGGACACCTAACGGCATGTGGGGTCAGGACCTGGGTCCCCGCAGGGAGAGCTGAGCCAGGCCCTCGGGGTGAGGACCTCGGGCCAGAGCCGCTCCGGGGCAGAAGTGGGGGAGCGGTGGGGTTGGGAACAGCTGGGGGCAAGGACCGCGGGCCAGAGCTGCTCCGGGCAGAGGTGGGGTGGGGCAGCCATGGGGTGTGGAGGGGCAGCGTGGGGTGAGCGGCTGGCAAGTGGCTTCTGTCCTCCATCGGGGAAGGGATAGACACGTGTCCGAGTGTGCACCCAAGAGATGAGCGCACTTTGGGGTGAGGTTCACCCCAGGGCACTCCCGTCCTACACAGGATGTAACAGCGGGTGGAGGGCGACGGATGGCTGGGGCACCCACCTGGCAGACGAAGTGCGGGAAGCTGAGCGCTGGCCCGTTGTGGAGGACGGGGTAGTAGAACACGTAGGCCAACAGCCAGGGGAAGGAGCGGCAGGTGGGCAGTCGCTGCCAGGCGCGCTCCAGGCTGAAGCCGGTCCAGGCCAGGCAGCGCACGGTCAGCGTGAAGTGCAGCAGGTGGAACTCGTTCTCCGTCCGGTACCAGCCTCTCTGTAAAGCCAGGGCACAGGCAGTGTGAGCAGCAGCACTGCAGGGCCGAGGGGGCGCCGGGACACACAACCTTGTCCAGGCCGTGGCAACCATCCTCTCAGCATCAGCACCCTGGGCCAGAGGGTGTGGGGGCCGGATGCCGCCGTGGCCGATATGGAGATCCGCCAGTCTGCGTGCTCCGACTGCCCCACACAGCTCAATGCCCCCATCCCCCAGGGCCTGCCGGGACCCCCACCCCCGCAGCGTCTGACACTGCTGGAAGGCCAGCACGTGACGTGCCAGTAGTGGGCAGGGTGAGAAAGGACACAGGCAGTGACAGGAGTCGAGCCGTGTAAGCTCAGGGGTGAGGCCAGGGCACTCTTTCACAACCACAGGGCAGTCCTGGCCTGAGGTGCCCCATGGACGCCGCACATAACGGTCTGCCAGGTGCAGCCTCAGCACAAAGGAAGGAGAGTTGGGGCGGCTTCAGTCGGTGCCGGCCTCAGTGGCACTGAGGGCCAAGCCCAGCGTCTGCTCCATGCCCAGCATGTCCCGCCCAGCAGCCCCCAGCGCTGAGCCTGGAGACCTCCGAGGCAAATCTGTCCCTGTCTCCCTCAGCAACTGCCTCAGGCCACTGCCTGCGCCATAAGCAGAGTCTGTCTGGCTGTCCCCATGTCAACTCTCCCCAGACTAAGGCACAGCTGGGGTCTGGCTGGGCCGGCACCACTGGGTCTACTCTAAGCCCACATACCCTGTGTAGCCCTGAGCCCCACAGCCCATCCCTGAGCTGGAGCCGTGGCCTTGGTTACTGGGGCCCGGATTTCTGATCCATGTGCTGAAGGACCAGTCTCAGCCCAGCCGGGGAGGGAAGGGCAGAGGCTCGGCTTTTCATGCTGCTGGACTGTCACAAAGTCCACCTCGTCAGCTCCTCGGAAGGGCCCTGAGGCAGGCAGGCGCCCACCCCTTCCCATACCTAGATGGCAGGTGGGCTCGGCAGTCACAGCAGCCTCGGGCTCTGAGGGTAGGAAGAGTGAATGGACAAAGCAGCTATAACCTGGCTGACTGCCAGCTCCCTTCCCCCGACGGCACAAGTCAGGCAGGGACCAGAGGGCCGCCTGGACCCATGGACGGTAGACAAGCTAGGACACAGGGACAGATTCTGCAGGGCACTGGTTCCCTCAGCTGACTGGTGGTAACCAGGCAACGTCGAGACCTCCTGGCCGAGAACTGGCTCTGGGGTGGGCTAAATTGTGGGTCACGGAGACATGGGCCACTGGCTTCGTAACTGAAAGCCGCTGACTTGCTGCAGGGTGGTGGGGAGCAGTGGCATCTGAGTGACACTGCAGGGGCCCTGGGGAAGCCCAGCACGCCCTTTCCCAGGCCTGGCCAGGGCAGTGTCTACAGAGGCCTGACCTAGACGGAGCCTGGGATGCTGCCCTCACCCTCCAGAGTCTATGCTGTGCCCACAAGGGCACAGGGGCTTCGTCACATCACCCACACCCTCAGCCATGCAGGGCCCAGCACCAAGGAGGGGCTAGGAACTGTCCACTGATGTTACCTGGGGACATTTGGAAAGGGACGCCGCTCAAAGGGAGACGGTGTGCTTTCTGCAGGGACAGGGACATCTTTCCAGACAGAGGTCGGGGTGGGGTGGGGGGATGCTGAGAGAGCCAGGGAGGGTGCCGGGCAGAGAGGCAGTGGTATTTAAAGGGCAAAGTGGCTGATGCACCCAAACAGCAGCTCCCACAGCCTGGTCAGCATGTCTGAGGACCAGGCGGGCACGGAGGTGCAAGACACAGAGGCCCTGTTCCTGGGGCCCGGGACACGGACACTAGGGTGGTCCCAGCATGTTCTGGCCCCGGAACAGCTGCCCTGAGAGCTGGACAGTCCCTGCGCTGATGTTCCCCACCTGTAACAATGGGCCTGCAGCTCCCCTTGAAAGTGTCAAGATCTCAGTCAGGGGAAGGGACAAGGTGCTAAGGGGCTGAGGGGCCCCACCCACCCCAGCCCTTGGCACAAACAGGGTTCAGACACCCCATCACTGAGGCAGAACAGAGGGTCCAGAGCAATCCAGGGAGGAGCAGAACACATAGCAGGAACCAGAAACCTTGGTGGGGGAAGGGGTCCTGGGAGGGCCAGTCACTCGGCCACGCACCAAACTCCTGAGGTCAAGGCCCTCTCAGGTCCCCAGCACCGCTGGGCCAGGCCCGGAGCCTGCACAGAACACACGCTCAGCCACCGTGAGACAGAACAGTGTGAAGCTGAGGGCCGCCCTGCCAAGACTGACGCTCTTGCAGCTGAGGCCACAAGCAGCAGGGCCGGTCAGCACCCTCCTCCGCCAGCACAACCACCAGGCAAGACGCTGGACCCGCTGGGGCAGACAGGGGAACTCCCCAAACTCACAGAGCTTCCAGGGGGATCATGAGTAGACACTGAGCAAATCAATTAAGAAGAAAAACACCTGCGGCACCTGTCCCAGGGGCTCTCCTGGGCCTCAGGTGAAGGCCGGGACTCCCCCTCACGGCTCAGGGCTCTGCGGGCAACTTATTAGGTGCCCAGGGGACTCCTATTTTCCTCCCCTGTGTTCCCATCCAGCACCATCCGTGCTGACCCTAACTAGGAGCAAAGGTGCCCAGTCTGCCCAGACAGCCTCAGAGAGTAAGGCAGGCCCCAGGCAAGGATCACACTGCAGAGTGCACCCCCACATCGCTGCACCCAGCACCTGCAGCCACCAGGGGGAGCCCTGCACAGTCACTGCACCGACTCCATGTGGCCACCAGGGGAAGCCCCCAGTCACCGCACCAACCCTGCAGGGCCACCAGGGGAGTCGCCACAATCCTTCCCACAGCCCCTGCCGGGTCCTGCTGCCCAAAGACCTTCCCAGCGTGAGACCCAGACCTCACCTTAACTTCCTGCGCATCTTCCAGCCTCAGAGTGGAAAGCAGGAGGAGAGAACATAGCCAGCACAGGAGCGGACGCTGGAATTGGGCGACACAGAAGGAGATGGTGGTGTGGAGGAGCAGCATAGCCACGCCGGGGGCACCCAGCACGCGCCAACAGGCCCCGACTCCATAGAGGGTGAGGATCCAGGGTCTGTGCTGAGACAGGGCAGGGCAGGACAGAGAAGGGAGGTGGTGAGCCCACGGCTGGCTACAGATAGTCCTACGGATAGTCCTACGGATAGTCCAACAGAACAGACAAGTTCTGTTGTCACTGTGCTGGGGACTCGTGCAGCAGAGACAACAGCATGGAGGGAGCCCCCTTCGCCCCAGCATGGCACTGGCTGCCCCGGTCCCCAAAGTCCACCAGATTCTCCCAGAAGCAAAAAGCCACTTTCCTTCTTCAGCCAATGCCCCCCAAGACAGGGTCCCACAAGGGGAGACCTCGTGAGGGCCTTGCAGCCACCTCTGTGGATCCAGGGGCAATGGGGAGCGCCCCTCAGAGGGGCTGCCCCACACAGGCATGTGCTCACACGTCCAGGGGGTCTCGGTGAGAAAACTGGACCGTCTGCCCCCTAATCAGACACTTGGCTGTCAAGTTGCATGCATGTCACTGACACCCGTGACAGGTTTATGATACTATAAAACTCCACCCTGCTGCTGTGAGATACTGAGGTGTCTGTGTCATCAGCTTGATAGATCCACTTATTCCCATTTTAGGCAAACCAGGATTTGTTCCACTTAACTGCTGAGTCTGTGGTTGCTGCAGTGAATGAACAATTAAGCAGATAAATTCACGTCTTTGCTTTTATGGCCGTGTCTGGCAGTGTCCTTGCTGTGAAACTAAGGAAACGCACGGGGGCATCCTAGCATGGAGCGGGGACCCACATGGGACTCGGCCAGTCACCTCTGAGTCCACTTCCGTCAGGAGCCTGGCATCTGCACCACCTCCCTGTGGGACCCTGGGAAGTCACTTGTTCTGCACACTGGCTTGTATATATAAAATGGAGGTAAGTGTCTACTTAGTGAGGCTGCATGAGGAGTTAATCCCAGAAAATGCTTCCAACAGCGTCTGCACACAAGTGGGGAGCTGAAGTGCTCCACAGGGCACAGGAGTGTCTTGGGGATGAGCCTGTGAGAGGTGTGCTGAGGAGGGTGCCCAAAGATAGCTGTTCTGGTGAAAACCTGCAGACTTGTCAGGAAAGGCCTGTGGGCGGAGCGTGAGCCCTAAACCCCATCCCTGGTGTCTCACTTCCCTCCCAAGCCCCTGTTCCTCTGTGGTACAAGTTTGATCCCAGCCAGGGAGCTACCCACATGGCGCAGCAGACCTCTCCTGTCTCCCCACTGCTCCCCTCAGCAGTGTACTTCAGTCAATCCACCTGTTCCATTCCCCACTCTCTCTCTGGTGAATCCTCTCACCCCCCACACCCTTGGCCTATACCCCAGCTCTTGTATGCATAAATAAATAAATCTTTAAAAAAAAATGCTGATCGTCAGACATGGTCTATGAAACATCACTGGGGACCTGCCTCCCCTCCCCCCTGCCAGGCCACTGAAGTCCTCACCAGCTCAGCCTCCCGCCCACTGAGCATCCCCCTGCCCCCTGGCAGGCCTGGGGTGCAGTGTTGGGGGGCAGCAGCATCCATGGCACAGGTGGTGGGAGGGTGTATGCCAGCTGGCTCTCGAGAGCTGACCTGGTGATTGTGACTACATGTAACCAGAATGAGCTCAGAGCCAGCCCCGCCAGCTCCTGTCCACTCCTCCAGACGAACAAGGCTGCTCGCCCACAGGGTGGACATGGTGGCAGCCAGCCATGGCGGGTGCAGGCCCAGCCCCGAGTGTGCCTCGGACCAGGCCTGTCGCCCGCCCCCAGCAGCCTCCAGCGAGTCCTAGGCTGAGCAGCACCCTGAGCAGCTGCCGAGGCCGCCCCCTCCCTCTTCCCGCCTATGTCCCTCAAACCCTGTTCAAGGCGGCAAGACCCCAGGGACCAGCTGGCAGGGCACCCATGTCCCCACCCACCACTTTCACTCTGCTGAGCTGGGGCCCTGGGGGCCATGAACACCATCAACAACATATTGAAACCAAGCTAGGGGGCTATGGGGTCCCCTCCTTGGGAGAGCCAGCCCAGGAGGCATGGGCTTTTGGAAAAGGAGAAGCCCTGTCCCCCCAGCCACACACCTGCTCTGCCGGGCCTCACTGTGGGGCTCATGCTGGTGGGTTTCTGGCCCCAACCCTCCCTCACGTGGGGGCAGCAGCACCACAGGTCTGGACAGACCCACCACGTCTCAGGTGCTCGGGGCTAAATCCAAGAGTCCCCTCACACCTGCCCTCCCACGAAAGCCTGAGTCCAGCACCGCCAGTATGCACCCAGTGAGGCGGGCCTTCAGGGACCCTGCTGGGACCCCACAGGGTCCCCACAGGGACCCCACACAGGAACCTCACAGGAACCCCACAGGGACCCCGCAGGAACCCACAGGAACCCTGCATGAACCACAAAGGGACACCACATAGGGACCCCACAGGGGCCCCACAGGGACCTCACAGGAACCCCGCAGGAACCCCGCAGGGACCCTGCAGGGACCCCACATAGGAACCCCATAGCGACCCCACAGGAATCCCACAGGAACCCCACAGGGACCCCACAGGAACCCACAGGAACCCTGCATGGACCACACAGGGACCCCACATAGGGACCCCACAGGGGCCCCACAGGGACCCCGCGGGGACCATGGTTCCCAGGACGCACGCGGAGCGCAGCGCTCAGCGGCCCGGCCCAGCCCATCCCCTGTGGCTGTGGGACCGGGGAGACCCAACGCTCTCCAAAGTCACAAGCCCTTCACCCTCCTGGTTGAAAGCACTGTGCAGGGGGGTGTGAGGGTGGGAGGGCACACCTTCGTCCTGAATGCATGCCTGGACCATGACCGTCCTCCGGGCACATACCTGCTGCGCCAGCCGCATGGCCACCTGTGACACAGCAGCGTGTCCCAGGAGCAGCCAGGCCAGCTGCCGCCGCCCCCAGTCCATCCAGAAGCTCCACTCGAAGTCCGTCGGGTCCTACAGATGCCAAGACAGGGGTCAGGGAGCTCTGGCCACTCCATGGCCACCCTACAGACACCCAAACAGCGTTTCCACGGCGCCTCCATCAACTCAGACCCACCCTGCCAGTGCCCCCGCCCCCCTCCAGGCTGGCCTGATCAACCCCAAACCCAGCCCTTCTCAAGCTGGTCCCAGCCTCTTTGTGGGTGACAAAGGACCAGCACCCCCATTTATGCCCCGTGTCATACCAGTGCCGAATCTGACAGTCACAGCCCCATCACCCAGAAGCTTCCCAACAAGACACTGACACTGGATACCAGTGCCCTGCCAAGGCTACCAGGCAGCCCAGCTGGCCCTCATGGGGGCAGGGGTCCAGAGACGACAGGAGCCTACAACTTCCTCCCTCCCTGGGAAGCTGTGGGCTCTGCCCTGTCCCACCGCTGCTGGGAGGGCTGGCCTGGGCCAGCAGGATGAGAGTGCCTTGGGTGTAAGATGGCTGGGCTAGTGCAGGGGAGCACATGGAGCCACACATAGGCCATGGACCTGGGGGGAAGCAGCTGCAGGACAGGGAGGCACCGCGGCCCATAGGGTGGGATGCGTCTGGACCAAACTCAGCACTTCACCGTGCATGGCCACTCGGAGGCAGATGTAAGGGGATTGGGAATGAGGCACCGGCAGCAGATGTGGGTGCGGGACTGAGGGGCGAATTCATGCCCCCACAAACAGCACAGCAGAGAGTGACACACGACAGGTGTCAGTCCCCACAGGCTGTGAGGTGAGCTCCAGGCAGATGGTATCCAGGGCAGGGAAGTAGTAGGATGCCCAGGGTGGGGGCGGGGATGGGGTGAGGGCCAGGGTGAGGGTCAGGGTGAGGGTGGTTAAGGGTGGGGTGGGGGCATGGGAGAGGCTGAGATTGAGGGTGAGGGGGCCTTGGGTTAAGTCTTAGGTTGTCACTGCTACGGCCTGAGTGCAACCCCGGCCAGGAAGCTACCCACAGGATGCAGCAGACCTCTCCTGTCTCCCCGCTGCTCCCTCAGCAGTGTATTTCAGTAGATCTGCCTGTTCTGTTCCCTACTATCTCTGATGAGTCCTCTCACCCCTACACCTCTGGCCTGCACCCCTGGCCTGCACCCCAGCTCTTCTACGTAAAAAGAGGGAAGGGGTTCTGATGGGCAGGGATGCGTCCAGCACCCTGGTTGGGAGTCCAGGACACACACAGCAAGCCCAGTGCTGTCCCACCCAGGAGGGCACGAGGCAGGCCAGATGGTAGCCCCCATCACAGAGGAGGCAGTTCCCAGAGCAGCCAAGTGTCCAGGCATGGGCCTGTCCAGGCAGACACCGGTTCCCATCAGATGTGGCCAGGTCAGGGCTTGGGAAGGTCAAAGCGCAACTGGCAGGTTTTGGCCAGTCACAGGCAGATTTCTGGTGTCAGAGGCAAGGTCCGGGGCCCCCCTCTTGAGTCCTCTTTCCCAGCAGGCAGACCCAGCTCCAGTGGCCGGGGTGCCACCCACTCTGCCAGACCCAAGAGTGCCGCAGAGCATGAGGCTGCCTGGCCTATACCTTCTTCAGTCCTCTCAACAGAGTGCCGGTCTCCAGGCCAAATTCTCGGTCCAGCTCCTCTTCATGTTCTGACAAGGAAAGCAGAGTCGATCGGTCACAAATCTGACAAACCCGGTTGGTTCGCAGCAGACACCAAGAAGTGGCGGGTGTCCCCAAGCCCCAGGCCGAGACACGGCCCCTCTGGGGGCCTCCCCATGACTTCAGTTCCAAGAGAGACCTGGCGGGTGGCGGCTGTCCCTGCACTGGTCATGGGTCTGCAGGGGAGGGGGCAGGGAAGGCCCCCTCTGGGTCAAGGGGCCCGGAGCCAGCACCACTACACAGAGGTGACCAGCTTTACCCCCTGGGAGCCGCGCCTGCCCCACACAGGAGAAGCCTCCCTGTGGAAACCACCAAAGAAGACGGACTGTGGTCGCAGAAGCCGGACGTGTGACCAGCTGAGGGCACAGGTCTCCCCCACCCCCCTCCCTCACTGGAGTCAGGGACTGAGGTTGGTGCGGCTGAGGGAAGAGAGCAGGAGGCAGCAAGGGGGTGAGTAGGGCCCCAGGGGAAGCCCAGCGCACAGCGACATCCCGAGTTTTCCTGGCAGTGGGGCTGGGAGGAGTGGCAGACACCCCGGAGCGCTGGGAACCCTGTGGTCAGGCGGCATGGACGCTGAAACTCCATCCCCTCCAGTCACAGACAGGCCAGGCCGAGCCGGACCGGAGCCCATAAAAGCCCCGCAGCAGAAAAGACTTCAGAGGGAACCCACAGCCCCCAGAAAGCAAACCAGACATGTGCACACCCAACAGAAGGGGCCAGAGATGAGGCTGGGGTGGTGGTGGCCGCTGTGGGGTCACAGGGCTAAGTTAAGACCACACGGCCATCACACATACAGCCCCCCCAGCTCCCTGTCCCCCGAGAGAGATCCTGGTGGTCCTGACATCACCCCCGGGAGGCCCGAGCTTCAAAGACCAAGACCCTCAGATAAAGGAGCGGTGGAGAGGGGGAGGGGAGTGAAGACAGCCTCAGCCCAGAGCACAGCCCACTGAGCTGTAAATACAATGAAAATGGCAGGAGAAATGATTTCAGCTGTAGAAGACTCAAATGAACATACTACACATTCAGAAGGAAAGAAAACGTGAAGACAAAGGGAAGATAAGGAAACGCTATGAGAAATATCAGACTCAATTAGAAGAGGAAACCTAAGAATGAGGTCGCAGAAGAAAAAGAAATAGGGCTAAAATACTATTCGAGAAATGAGAACTTCCCAACCCTACAGAAAGAAATATGGATGCCCAGCAAGCAGAGAGAGCACCTACATTCTTTAATGCAAAAGACCAGACACATCGTAAAACTATCAAAAATCAAAGATAGAGAACATTTTGCAGGAAACAAGGAAAAAATAGTAACAACTTGTAAGAGCTCCCAATTAGGGATTTCAGCCCAGAGACTCTCCAGGCAAGAGGAGAGTGGAAGGAATTTGCAATCCTAAAAGACAAAAGCAGCCAGCCAAGTATTTTCTATCCTGCAAAATTATCAATTAAGTATGAAGGTGTAGTAAAGGTTTTTTTCTGACAACAGAAGCCATTGGAGTTTTCCACCACCTAACCTATTGCTCAAAGAATACTAAAAGGAGTTTTTCCACAAGAAAAACTGAAGTACAAACCCCTTAGTAAAATGAAAATTGCAATATAACAGCAGTACCAAGGGCAAGAACACCATGTGTTAAGACCACTAGATACTAAGGAGGAGGAAGAAAGGGCAGAACTAGTATAATTAAATGGCAGAGAGCAGACAGCAGCTCATAAAGGAGACAAAACATGGGAATGTAAGTAAAACCCCCACAGTAACCACTAAGCAAAAATCCAGGAAGACACCTGCAGATGAAGAGGGAAATTGATGTAAATACTAAGAAAAGCCATCCAGAAAGAGTAGAAACAAAGGGAAAAGGAAAAACAAAACAATCAGAAAAAATGACTGAAAAACAAATAATAGTAATAATCCCTTAAATATGAATGATCTGATCACCAATAAAAATACATTGGCTGGGGTCCTCCCTGGCAGCCTCGGGTTGAGTCTCAGGCTGTCATCTGCAGCCTGAGTTCAATCCCAGCCAGGGAGCTGACCCACATGGCACAGCAGACCTCTCCTGTCTCGCCTGCTGCTCCTTTCAGCAGTGTATTTCAGTAGATCCGTCTGTTCTGTTCCCCACTCTGTCTCTGGTGAATCCTCTTACTACCCTCCCCTGCACCCCAGTTCTTTGATGCAAAAAAGCAAAGAAAAGGCATTGGCTAACAGTGTGGATGAAAAAAATCCCAGTCATCAGTACTTTGCTACAAGAGACCCATTTAAAACCAAAAGACAAAAAACGAACTAAAAATAACAGGCTCGACTAAGCTCATATTTGCTTAACTGTTTGAAGCTGCTATTCTTACACCTGAAAAGCTCAAATTTCAACTAAAAAAAAATAGTAAGGACAAAGACTATGGACACTATGCTGATCAAGGGAACAAATCACCAAGAAGATGGAGCTGTTATTAATATTCATGCTCCCAACACAGGAGCACCTGCTACATAACAACTCATCTATTAACAGACCTAAAACAATCTACCGAGAGAAACACAATTATCGCTGGAGATTCAACACCCCACTGACAGCAGGATAGATCATCCAGACAGAAAATTAACATAGTAGGAAAGGAAATATTAGGTCAAATGTAATATTAGGTCAATGAAATATTAATGAAATATTAGGTCAAATGTATTTACTGGACATTTACAGTTTTCCATCCTGAAAGTGATGAACACACCTTCTCTAGTGCACATGGAACAGTCTCAAGAACAGATCATATACTAGGTCATAAAACAATCTCAGAAGAGAGACAAAATTAGAAATTAAATCAAGTACCGTCAGACCACAATGCTATAAAGCTAGAAATCAACCATAAAAGCAATCCTGGAACAAACCAAAACATGCAGAGGCCAAAGTGCTTCTGAACAGCTGCTGGGTCAATAAAGAAATCATAGAAATTAAGAAAGAAGTCCAGAGACTGATGAAAATGGAGAGACAAACTACTAGACCCTATGGGATGCTTTAAAAGCAGCACTACATGGTATGTTCACAGCAATACAATAAGATCTCTAACAATCCAACTCCACAATCGAAGAAAATAGAAAAAGGACCAACAAAAGCAATATATATATATATATATATATATATATCTCAAAAAACAGGAGGCAAGAAATAATAAAAATTAGGGCAGAAATAAATAAAATAGAACACAAATAGTCCAAAAGATGAATGAAACCAAGAGTTGGTTGTTTGCAAAAATAAAGTTGACAAGCACGCTTGTCAAAGTAGAATGCTTACAAAGAGAGAAAATCCAAATTAAAATAATCAGAAATAAAGGAGGCAAATTACAACAGATACTGCACAAATACACAGGATCATAATAACCTAGTATAAAAGTCCTCATGCAAACAAATTGTACAACCTAGAAGAAACAGACAATTTTTTAGATTCATACAACCTCCCAAGTTTGAACCCGGACAAAACAGACAGCTTTAAACAGTCCAATCACAAGTGCTGAAATCAAAAAAGTAATAAAAGATTCCCCAAGAACAAAAGCCTAGGACCAAGGAGCTTCTCCATTGAAGAATTCTATAAAACTTATAAGATATAGTACCTGTTCTATTCAAAATCTTCAAAAAAAAAAAAAAATAAGAGTAAAACTCCTTGACATTACCTTGATCCCAAAACCAAACATAGATAGTGCAAAAAAAAAGAAAATTATAGCTCAATCTCTGATGAAAGTGGACGAAAAGTCCTCAATGAAAATCCTGGAGAACCAGATACAGGAACATATCAGGAGACCTGGCCAGCAAGCCCAAGCAGGCTTCCTCCCAGGGAGGCTTTTCAACACATGGAAATCAAGTGGCATCAGCCAGCAGATCAACAAAAGGAAGACAAAAAACAATCATCTCATCAGATGCTCAAAAAGCATTCCAGATGATCCAACACCTATTTACAATAAAGACGCTCCAAAAATGGGAATAAATGGACACTATCTAAATATTACAAAAATTAGGGGCCTCCCTGGTGGCACAGGGGTTAAAGTCTCAACTATCAAGCTATTGCCAGCCACTGCAGCCTAAGTTCAATCCCCAGCCATGTGGGAGGTGACCCACATGGTGCAGCAGATGTCTCCTGTCTTGCCTACTGCTCCCCTCAACAGTGTTTTTCAGTAGATATGCCTGTTTTGCTTTCCACTTTGTCTCTGGGGAATCCTCTCACTCCCTGCACCTCTGGCCTCTACCTCTGGCCTATATCCCAATTCTTGCATGCATAAATAAAAATAAATCTTTAAAAATATTATAAAAATTGTACAGGACAAGCCTACAACCAATATCATACACAACAGTGAAAAGCTGAGAGTATTATATTTCTACCAGGATCAGGAACAAGATAGGGATGTCTATTACCACCACTGTTGTTCAACATAGTTTTGAAATCCTGGCTGAAGTAATCAGGCAAGGAGAAGGCACAAAAGGTACCCAAATAGGAAAAGTTCTGGACCTAAGTAAAATTATCACTATTTGCAGCTGACATGCTAAATAGAAACCATAAGACTCTACAAAAAAAAAACTTGCAGAAACAAATGAATACAGCAAGGTGGTGACACAAAATCAATACACAATAATCGGTGGCATTTCTATCAAACATCAGAAGTACAGCGTATCAGAAGACAGCAAAATAAGGAACAGTTCTGTTTACAATCATGTCAGAAAGAATGCAGCATATGGGAGTGAACTTCACATAGGAGGTGAAGGACCGACCTGTTGAATGAAAACTATAAAACTGGTGAAGGAAATAAGATGCAAAGAAATGGAAGGGGACACAGAAAGGAACACTTGTCCTCGACTCACCCACGACAGGCCAGCTAGACACATGTCCAGGTTTACGCATCTCCTGGAACTCTGACAAGGAAAAAGAGGGGAAACTGTGGCGAGCACCAGGAAAGCAGATGCTTCGGAGCAAACATCAGAATGTCTGCAGGGAGATCCCAAAGGCCAAAGAAACCATTCTCAG